GAGTACTGTGAGGGTACATTGATCACCATGTGGTCGTATCAGTATTGACCAATACTGAGTATCTAATATAAGAATCACATGAGCGGCCGGCCATTCACAACATTCAACATTTGTTCATACAAACCGATGGGATTATATAAGATTGGATAATAATAATCATAATAATATGCAATACTGTTGCAGGTGTTCAATTACAATACTATTGATAAGAAATGAACATAACAAAAAGAAAAAGACTTCATTTATTAAGCTGATTTACATGAAAGATCATCGAAGCAATCGAGCATGAAGTATGAATCTATGATTGGTTTAGTCACAAAAAAAAGAGAATCCTTGTAAAGAATGGTATTGATTTCACAATTGGATGGAATATCTTATGATTTTTTCTTGACTATTGCTTTACAAAGTAAATACAACCTTTTCTACGGAAGTCATATCATATAGAAAGTACAAAAATTCTTCTCGAGTAATATTCAGTATTACAATAAGATATAGATGACTAATACTGAGATCAGATAATGAATGTTCTACTATAATTATTTCTTTTATTCTAAACGAAAATATACAATTAGAGTTTTATCTGATATGTTTTCATCTGGATAAAGACTAGTTGATTGTTGATATGTTTTCTATTTACAACAGATGATTTATCACTCAAAAACAATAGTATGCATCAAATTTCTACATATCGAAACACAATAAAATTATAAATATAGCAAAAAAATAATAAAAAATATTTTGCAATTTACATCAAGGATAACAGTCTTTCTTCATTGAATAGTAATAAACTAAGTTTAATAGTCTAAGTGCTGCGTGATTTTTACTATTTCATGACAACAACATTTTTATATTATTTATATGTCGGAATTGCTTCTTTTTATAAACTATGATGAATATGCCTTCTAGATGTTTTGAGAAAGAGAATTGATTAAATATACAATCAATCAAAGTAAAGAAGTTAGTTAAGTTGAAAAATCACTTAATGATGCTTAGAATTTTCAGTCTTAGTCAATATTTTTGTTTTCAATATATAAACATCAAATTGGTTGTCATTTGTTTAGATAAGAAATGAACCATATACGATTAAAATTGACTCTTATAAATATAATCAAAATAGCTAAACAATAAATATTTTTTATCAAGTGTAAAATCGTATAAAAAGATTTCCATTTTTTAACAATCTAATAACCGTTCCATTAATTTCATATATTTTAGTGTCTCGAATAATTCAAAAACAAATATGATATTCAAATTTTAAGTAAATCGTAGTTAATGTCTATTGTTTTTTGTTTTATTGTCAATATTGCACTACTCGTTGAGTCATTTGATATGCGATCTAAGCAAATGAATCATCTCTTAGGTATTTCGCATATAAACATACATTTATTTCGATTAATCAACATGTATATATATATATATATATATATGCCTGTTTTCTATCATCTGTCACTGTTAGTTATTTTAAAATAATAGGTAAGACACCATTACTGATTAATCATATTCTTATCATCCTTTCAAATGCTTATTTACGAAGTATTAAAATTATCGAATTGTAAATGATTAATCATTTGAGGTAATCAAGGACGATATTCGTTTTTTTTACATATCGATAAAAGTAGATATGTGCATCAAGTTCAAGGTTATTTTTTTTAATCAACATTGATATAATCTTTTCATTACGTGTCAATGCGAGAAATGAATACCTGCATGTCAAGCATCAGAATTAAAATGACTATGAAGACCAATTGTCGCATATCTTACTGTGTAAAATGCATCTAATAGAAAAGAAGAAGAGTTTTTTCAAATCTATGAACATCTATCATAATTGTAAATGTTTTGTTTTTTGTAAATATTTATTAATAATATTATTTCAATTTAGAGACATTCTTTTTTAAAAGTTCGGTTGAAATAAATTGAAATTTTTACGAAATAATTGATATGCATCCAATAAAACTTATTCATTAAAACCAAGAAAAATTAATCATCTAGAAAATCCATTCGAAAATTTTCATTAATCATTAGTAATAGCTCAAAATTTGATATAATTTATGTTTTTGTCAGTATTTTTTTTTAGTATATTTTAATGACAAAATAATGATAATGAATATCTAGAAAAGAAAAACTGTCTATATACTTTCGCTTGTAAATAATATATTTTCAACGATACAATTATTGTCAGTGAATATGTATTCAAAACTTGTGAGTTACAATTTGTACTTTTACTTGCCAGAAAAATGATACCAACTAAATACATGCCAATTATTTAAATTGATATGCCATGACTAGAAAAGGTTTTCTTTCCTCTATCTTGTTGATTGCAAACAATGTTTATGAAAATGTTGTTAATGATCAATCTATCGATAAAATTGGATATTATATTTGAACTTCATGAAGAAAATTGCTTGACCTGTGAAAATGGACGAAGTCAATCGCAAGATGTTGATATCATATTCTTGACATTATGATCTGACGTTTAGTATTGAAAAATTTTGGATCAAATGATGTACGATAGAACATTGCAAGCCATGAAGTCATGTTGATATATATAAGCAGTGTAGTAGTATTATTAGAGGAGCGACAGAGTAGATGGAGATCCGCTTATAAGAAGGCTTTAGGCCCTTTTTTACCTGATTACATCACCATAACAAAAACAGTTGAAATCATAAGGCTTTAATAGATTGAATTTACTGTGAGAACATTGAAATTTCGAAAGCTCAAAATTTCTTTGAAATTCAGTATTTCACTAATTCTTCATTTTTATTGGATGATACCACTAAACAATTTTTGATCACTAGTCTTGGCTACATAAATTCATGATTTTACCAAAAATATTTATCATCTTTTGAAAAGTCGATAAGTTTTCGAATGTTCAGAAATACATAAATATGTGGATATTTTGTTAAAGAAAGCTGAATAATGAAATGATTTCCAGTGAGAGAAGCTGTTTGATTGTTTTGTTTAAAGATAATTATAGCATATACCCGCTCGTAAAAGCTACTGGTAATAAATAATATTAAATATATCCACAAAAGAAAAGCTAAAAATGTCGATATATTTCCTGAAATTTTCAAATTAGTCGAATTCTTGGGATTCTCTTTTTTAATTTGGGTAGCTCGATTATACCACTTTTAAACAAAAACAGCGTCAGATATCTCGATGAAACGCTTATTTCATGATATCATTGCATAGTTCGTATTGTACATTAGTTTACACTTTTATCGATATACCACGATAGAATGGAGGTCAGGACATTGCCGACAATTTTTGTTCGATTTGAATCACATAGTTGCTTGCTAGTTACACTTCAGACAAAAACTAATCAGATCGAAAATATAATTAAAGCTCTTTTTTGTGAACTTCTGCACTAGACTTGAATACTAATTTAATATGGCAGAGATTTTGGTCATGAACTAGATTAACTATCAGTTGGTGTTGTTTCTGTTAACTATGTTTCGACAGAGTTATTCACATTTCTTTGTCTATCTGTGAACTGAAAACGTCCCAAGGTTAGATTTAATGAAGATTTTTTTGACATTCAAGTTGAAAGTGAAATATAGTAGACCTCATGGGCGGACCACCAGAAGGCATTTGGGGGCAATTGTCACACCTAAAAAATTTTATAAGTCGCTTATACAAAGTTTAAAACATGTTTTTCTTCTATAATAATAAGAAATTACGAGTTATTGTCCCACCTATTACAATATATTGCCACACCTCGACGTAATGTGTCGGCCCACCTATGGTAGACCTGTCAAATTTTTCGCAAGAAAATCTTTCGCTTTTATATCCCAATTTTGTTTAATGATTGTGATGAACAACGTTCATATACAATCAGTAATCTTTTTAAAACATCAGTCACAAACGATTCGATTGAACTTATCAAATATCTTTTCCATGCAGATTTGTCGACATTCTGTACCGATGTGTGAGGTTTATAGCTCAGCAGAAAGCACTTTCATCGTCGGAGTGCTAGAAGCGATGACCTAGACGGAAAGAACGAAATTCACCGTGAACTAATATCTCCCACAACAGATGACCTGCCACTAGGCCGTTGTTGCTTCAACTCAATTCACTTCGCAATGACATTGTCTGCTTATTTCAATTCCTCCCAGAGAAAAGTAAATAGTATTTCAAAATTCGGTTTCTGTCAAAAGCTACCACAACACTGTAAACAATTGGCAGAATGTCGAACAGTTTTTGTGGAGAGTTCCTTCATTCTCCCTCTGATTCCATATTAGCAATGATCCATAAATTTGATTAAACCACTGATTGATTGGTCCAACGTGTTTCACGTTGTATAGAGCACATATATTACTCATAATCGAATACTATTCATAGTTTCATCCCAATTATAAGCTAGAAATATTTTCTCTTGTTAACTCTGAAACCAACGACCATTTTGTCGCAATCCATCCGTATATTTTTATGATGTATATATATATGTATATGCCAATCTAAAATTATTTTGACACACTTAATCAAAGCATGCAATGCCAAAACATTCAGTATACCATATATAAAAAAAGATGTCATATTGATAAAAGAGAAATCAACAATAGTTTGTTTAACATTGTTCATTATGTATTGCTTCTTATGGAAAATGGTATATCAATAATGGCATGCAACGTGAATATTGAAGAAAGAACGAAGAAAACCAAAGACAAAAACAAGGAAAAAAGAAACAGATCATCATCGATATCAATGGTACTTGTATGTCCCATTGTATATATACGAACGTAGACAGAGTTAACATAAAAATCAAAGAAAAAAACAATAAGTCATAGTGATGCTCGTATATTTATATATAATAGCTTTTCATATGGTTTTTTTTTTGATTGAAAGAATAGAGATACATGAAGAATTAAAGTTCAACGTTTATTCAGAAAAAACAAACGATTTTTTTTGCGTTGATTCATCTTGCAAAATTGATTATAGTTCTACTTAACAGACAGTTACTATCGACAAAGAGAAAAAGAAATAAATAATAAGTTAAAAAGAAATTAATTTTTTGCAGTTTCAAAATTTGGATTATAAAAATCCAAACGAATGCAAAAATCGTCAATGTTATATTTTTGAAGCCAACCAGCAATAGATTGTTTACGTGAACGTGTGCGTGGTGTTCGTCGTTTTCTAATAATTTTTATTTTCTTTTTTGTTGGCATGATTTGTTTTCGTGATGATATTGATGATTCAGTTGATAATCGTCCATTTGGTTGTTGAGATTTTTTCTTTTTATTATCCTTATCATTTTGTCGAAGAATTGATTTAATTGGTAAAGTTGGAAGAGGAGGAAGAGGAGGAGGAGGAGGAGAAGGAGGAGAACCGCGTTGATTTTTCATTTGATTTTTATCATTATCAACATTTTTATCTTCTTTGGTTTCATTATTATTTGAATGATTACATTCAATTGTTTCAGTTGAATTTGCTGGTATTGATTTTGATTGTTCATTATTATTATCATTATTATCGTCTCCCGAAATTCGTCCACGCTTACAGATTTGTTCCACAATAGGTATATCTTCAATTTCACTTCTCAATGATCCTTTCTCACTTGGATTTACTTCAATCGAAGTTTCTTCTTGCACAAATATTTTTCTTTTATTTTCTATTTTATTCGATATACTTGCCTTTAAATCTTTATCTGTTGATGATGATGAAGTATTTTCTTGTACACTTTTCTTTCCTTCATCATCTATGAAAAACATATATATATATATATACGTAGATGGAATTTTTTTTGCTTACTATTAGACAATGAATGCATTCCTTTTTCAATATAATCCCAATGTATTTCAATATCTTGAATATCAACTAAACGTGTAAAACTTATTGTTTGTTGATTTTGTGGTCGAAATCGATTGATCTTTTTTAACCGTAATAAGCGAAGCATTCTTGTTTCAAGTTTATCAATTATTGATGAATTTGGATAAAGCACATCGCATAATGCTCTAACTGAAATACATTCCCGATGAGCATTGGAGTCAATACCGGAACATATATATGCTGTCATTGGATGACCATGAAATGTAATTGTTTTTTGATACCGATTTGATGAAGATGATGCTATTGGTAATTGAGATGTTGGAGTAACAGAATTATTATTCGTCGGTGATGATGGTGGTGATGGAGGTGGTGTTGATTCAGCAAACTAAGAGAAATTTTTTAATGAATAAATAAATGAGTCTTATTCCTGAATTGCTTGTTGGCTATACATATAAATAAAAAATTGTCCATATGCTAGTTTAATTGTTTTGGAGGGCAATACCATTTCTTTCAGCTCTCTTTTACAATCGTCTTGCTAATATAAGCTAATAAAACGATTGAGAAAGACAGATGAAAGGAAAAGTATTATCCTTAACAACAAATAATCGAGTATATAGCCACTCGTGATGTATGCGCGTAGTCAACAAGCAATTCGTGAAAAGGACACATTGAGATGTTTTTTTTTTACCGTATTTGTTGCTGCTGAAGAATCTGACTGAGTAGCTTGTCCTTGTGAAGACGATGGTGTTTTAGCTGAAGAATAAATGAATAGATTTTAATGACTAATTTTCTTGTGTTTTTCTTACGTTGATGTTGATAATTAAGTACATTTAACGGAAATTTATCATTAAATAAAAGTATCAAATCAACAGTATATTCTTTGCGTACAGATTCAATATCGATTAATTTTGCATTATGTATATTTATTGACATATTACTAAAGAATAGTATTAATTGAAGAAATTCATTTTCAGCTGTTGTTGGTGTTGTTAATGATGCTGATGATAAACATTGTGATGATATAATAAAAATTTTTAATAAATTATTTCCAATAAATGGTACAGTTTGTTCATGTAATGTTGTTATATTACGTAAACGACAAATACCACCATTAATTTGTACAATTGATGCCCAATCTTTACAAATAGATGATTTTGGATCATTTAATGGTAATTCTTTAATAAATAATACATTAGTTGAACAATGTTGATAAAATGCTAATAAATCAATAAGTTTTGTATCATAAGAGAATGGTTTAATATTTTGTTTTACACACAGTTCATTAATAAGTTCAATTTCTTGTGGTGTAACAAGTGTTTGCTCACAAGATAATGGTAAATCTATTGATTCATTTGTATTATTTTCCGATGATGGAATTTTAAGAAGATCATAAAATGTTAGAAGACTAACAGGTATTTTGTATAAATGATGATTTGATGTACTTAATGATACATAAGGTGTATAAAGTTTATTTATTTGCAACCAACCAGAATGAGGATGAGGTATTTTTAGTACTGGAGATGATGATGATGCTGTTGCTGATGATAATGGCTGTTTAGACATCGGTGTCATTTGTTTTTCTATTGAAGTTGTTGATAACTTTCGACTAGTTGGTATTATAGGCGATGAAATAGTCGCGTCTGGAGATGAAGAACTGTTCACTGGTATTGGTGTAGTTGATGTCGATGGTTGAGATGTAGAAGTTACAGCAGAAGTTATCGAAGGTTTATTTGGAAGCACTATAGAATAAGATAATCATCATTATCAAAAAACAAATGATTGATTTCTAATCTTCTAAAACTTTCAATTTTAAAAAGTACTTTTAAATATTTACAGATTACTCTTAATATATATATATATATATATATTCTTTACCGGTAGTTGTTGAGTTAATAACAGCATTCGATGATGTTGCTTTAGGTTGTTGAATAGGTGGTAGAGGTACTTGTTGTTTTTGTTGCGTAGAAGCTTGCTGTGGTACTTGTCGTGGTAATGCCGGTACTTGTATATCATATTTTGATAGTTGTGGAGGACGCTGTACAAGTGACGATGGTGGTGGTGGTGGTGGTGGTGCTATTGATCGAGGAATTGATGAAATATTCTCATGACGTAATTCTGATACAATATATGGTGGTATCTGAGTAGATGCTGTTGCAAGTGGAGTTGTTGAATGTCCAAGAAGTGAATTCGATATATTAAAATTAAAATCTGATGATTGCTTGGTAGCTTGTGGTAAAATTGGCCGTAATAAATTTGTTGATGTCGTTTGTGAAATAGAAGTCGGTTTGAATGACAAACGCAAATATTCATAAAATGGAAGAAAATCTGAAACGCGTACAAGTTCATCAGCAATAGTAAATGGTTGTCGTGAATATGCCCAATGAGAATGTTGAGTATTTATTCGATTTAATAGTGCAAGTTCATTTGAAGTTGCTGCATATAAAGGAATTGGTTTTCGATATTGATAATATCCTGAACGACGAATAATATCTTCAGGATATTCAGCTAATAATTTACGAAGCATTTTAACACAAAAATATTTTGTTGTACCACTATAAAACAATAAATATTATTAGAGAATGTCTTGTATTTTCATTTTAGTTTATAATCTCTATTATCAAAAATTTTATGCAGATATGTAGATTTGTCTTTTATTATATGATGAAAGAAAATACTATGCAAATATTATCATTCATAACTTTTCAAAATTTGATTAAAATTCTAAGTATTAAAGGACTTATTATTTATCATCTTTCAATCATTTGCATTTTCTGACATTTTGTATTAGATAATAAATTTATATATATATTATTTTTCCTTTTGAATAATATATCAATATTATGCATTTGTCTATTTTTAGTAGTAATTAAAAGTTAAAATTGATAATAAAGAATGAGTACTGTACAATAAGATACTCATTGAGCATGCGAACACATAATGTCGAAGAAATATTGCTTCTTAACAATATTAATTGACGCACCTCGTTAGGTTATAATTGGAAGCTATCTGCTAATATTGACCTTGATCTTATTATAAGAACATATTCTGACTTTAGACATCAATTATTTATAGCCAATAAAAGAATATCATTATTCAGAAAATAGAAATGCTTTTTTTTGTAGATTTTATATTGATTCTCAAGAGTCCTTCAATAGCTTTTATTTCCTTTCAAATATCTATATTGTAGTCATACGGAAATGCTTTTGCGCACAATTTTTACTGCATGACACGCCTCTTCATTCTTTACAACAGGAATTAGATTGCATATTTTCATCAGAAAAAATATTAATCTTCACAGGATTTTATTAATTTCATTTTTAATATTCTCTTTTAGCTGACTGACATATTTCTGTGAAGACATTCTTTTGATCATGAATAACATCATGCGTTCACATACGAATCAAATCATCAATATTTTTCTATTATGTCATTGTCATATGAAGCGATTGAAAGTCATACGATGATATTGATTCTTCTCGTGATCGATGCTTCAATGTATTTATTTATTTTTTCTTAGGATTTTACAGCGTAAAAAACAGATAATAGACCGATGATTACGAAAGTAATCAGAATTATTTCTTGGTTTCGGATTTTTCTATGTCACATGCACATTTTCTATCACATTCATATTGTTTTAATGTGCGTAATGCATTTCTTGTTACCTGATAAACTCACATATTTTCAGTCAACAATCAAGAAGGTTATACATGATAGATCTCGCTTTATAATCTAACATTGCAACGAAAAAAGCTTGTTTTCGAAAATATGTCTCGTCAAATCAACAGGTAGTCAAAATGAAAAGCTAAAAAGCAGAAATCGTATTATGAAATATTTTTCTAGTCGTAAAATGAATGCAACGCAATTTAGACAGTCATCCTTGAAAATCAAATCCGAAGGTAAGACAGAAAAGGACGCCTATTGGACGTATTTGTCGCATAGTTTGTAAAGAACGCAAAAGCGTGCGATTTTATAAATTCTTCGCACTACTATAGTTGCATGTCTAATATACTTTTTTTCTCATTCTGCTTTATTTTTTTTGAGACGTATGTGTCATGCATTCAATCGATAATTTACTTGAGCAATGCTAAGATATGAAGATGGAGCTAATAACAATGTTTTTTATCTCGTCTAACTTGTTAGTCTTAATGATTCAATAGAATATTTTCTATTGACTAAATTTCTTTGAAAAAGCATTATAAAATTAAAATAATATTTACACACCGAAAAATAACAGGCATGTAGGTGTCGCCAAGTGCTATTCTTTCCCATGCGAATCGGCCTTTAATTGAAGATATATCGAGTGCATGTATATCAGTTGATCGTTGAGGAATGACAATTGACGCTGTTGAAAATATAGGTGATTGCGATGGAAGAGATACTGTTGATCCGATTGGTACAACTCGTTTTAAATGATTAGTACGGCTCAATTGCTCACTTTTGATCATCATTGTATACGCTAGCTAACAAGAAGAAAAACCAAACTCTAGTTTAAGTAGTTAAAGCATACTGTAATAGAGATACCGTATTGTAGTAGATATATTAGAACAAAATGAAATAATCAGTAATTCATCTAATATGGAAGAAATAAGAGAATCTAGAACATATGTGAAATAATATTTTTGAGCTTATTCTAATCAAAGGATAGTTTAGTATTATTGCGTGCGATACTAGCGACATAGCTCAATGCAAATAATCTTGGTAAACAATACACGCACATGCACACACAGAACGAAAAAATAGTAAAAGAAATCATGTTCTTTGGATGCATGAAGCGATCCGAAAAATGTCATTACACCCTTTTCGATGAGAAAAGAAAAAGAACGAGAAGAAATAATGATAGAACGAGAAGAATAATATGTCTGAAAAAGAAAACAAGAAGAAGTGGTAAAAGCCTCCTTCTCGCGCAAAACTCATGCATTTTGCATATAAGAAAAAAGACGAAGGCGCTGACGGACGAATGAGAAAGAGACAGCAATAGATAAGCAAATAAAAGCATAAAGAACAAATGATATAGAATGCAAACAAAGCGAGCTTCTCGGTTCTTTATTCTCTCAGGGGTAAACAAACAGAGAAAGAGAAAAAAGCACTTCAAATCATGTCAATCACTCAATGCATTTTTCTATTAAATAGAGTGGAAGGTAGAAACTCACAAAAAAGAAGCCAGCTTATGCAAATAGAACTACTATGAGCAAGGCTTCCAAATGCTTTTGTCGATTTTTATGCTTGAACATAGCGAGAAAGTTATTGCTCCTAATTAGCATAAAAAGCAACAAAGCATTACTTTTCTGAAAGAAAACGCTACTTTCTTTATCTAGAAATCGTTATTACTAGATAGAAAGTTAGATTTTTAATAGCTTACTACTCATAAGAGCATTGACCAAGCTGAGCTATACAGGTCATTGTTTACGCGTGCAACTTTTCTAAAAAATACGACAATAAATAAGGCTTACGGCTTATCATTTCAACATTTGATTTGTTTCTCAATGCCCTTGTCCTTGTTCTGCGCTATAGACTATGATAGACAGAAATGTCTGATAAGATGTGCCTATAATAGCGAGCACACGCTTCATATATCTGCCAAAAATCATATGATGTACAGTAAAAAATTGTATTCTCTCTTATACGTTATTAGCTATGTTGCCTGACTATACAGTATGCTTGACATTTCTCAAAGGCTAATTATTTAACTCCTATAAGAAAGTCGATAGTCTCGACTTAGTATTGCTAAAACTATATACACAAAGAATGTTTCAGTTTTCTATAAATTATCTAGAACAACAGAAGATTTAGAAGAATGCCCCGTGACACGGAAGTCTTCATTTTATTGAGCAGAGATAATAAGATATCTTTAGGAAACTCTGATAGAAAAAGAAAAACTCATGGAAGCAAAATGATAAAGTATTAATAAAACGATCTAAAAGCTGTCGAAGAACCGCAAGTAATTCTCTTTCCGGAAATGAGAAGATGCTAATTGACGATGAATTTTATGCAGAATAACAATGAGAACGTCTTCTCAACCACACATTAATTCAGAACTTTTATCTTCTTTTATCACATCTTATGCTTCAGTCAAAAGTTTGTCTAGGAAATATTAGCCTAATACTTTTCATCATCAGTATTTTCTTAGTGAATTACTGAAATAATAAACTGCTAATAAACGGAGTTTTTCGCATTGATTTGCAATAGTTGCACTCTGCAAACCGAAGCCATTAGTTTTTGGGTAGAAAGCTTCATAATATAAGAATCTGGAGCGAAAATTACGAATACAGTCAAGAGTGCTATAAGTAATCCTTTTAAGTCTAAATGTATCACTATAAGATGTATGAATTGCTGATCAGATTCAACTTATACGTGCCTAGTAAGCTGATATTCTGTGGTTAACTGATACTTACAGTAGAGTTTTACTTAATAGCATTCATTGTCATTAAATAATTATTTTGAAAGTGTCACGTATTGACTAGGAAAAGAAAATTGAAGAAACCCATAATAGAAAAAGATTTTCATCTCAATCATAATTGCTGGAAACAACTACCATGCCATACGTTATATTAATCGTATATTCAGAACATGGCTATATCTGAGAAATAAATAGTATTTCAATATATTTGATCGAAATAATATGTGCTCCTTCTACTCACAAATTTAGGTTTTTCTATTATGATCCGCCAAATTAGTCGAAGTTTTGGCTATTTCTGTTGAGGAAAACACAAATTTCCCATGAAACAATCCTTCTTGAAGTCTTATGAAATAGGATAATCTAAAAATATGGACGGGGGAAGAGAAAGGAAGAAGGACTCTATAATAGAAAGAATTCAGAAAACACATTGTAAAAATATCCGCAGAGAATTTATCAGAAGCTTCTTAGACAAAAATAGCTACACAAAAAAGTGGTTGAGCGAAAGAAAGCTAAAAATACGACACGATAATTGAAAGAAAAGGCGTTTTTGTCATATGTCTGCTAGTATAGCTTACTTTAATTCTTGGTAACCTACATCGATGGACTTGCAGCAGAGCGACAGAAAAATCGAGCATATATGCTTGGGGACTTGCAGCAAGCGCGAGACCAAAAACTCAATGAAGTGTATTTTCTTTTCTCATTACTTCCGATCTCTTTTTTCTATCCTTCTGCACACTCACATGCATTTGTTTTCTTGATATAGTGCGTTGCTGTCGTCCATCGATGCTTCTGTTTCTTTTACAACTTTTTTCACGCAGCCAATTTACGCATTAAACAAACAACATTATGCAGTGAAACATGACAACGTTGATTTGAGTTGTGTGAAAAATATCGAAACAATTTCATGTTGCTACGTCATACATCTATTTATTAATAGTGAACAACCAAATTATAAACGAATAGTCTCAATGACATTATTGCAAGAAAATGGTAAATACCTTTTTCACCAATCATTTCACGCAATTTTCGTTTCACTTGGCATTCACTTGAGTGTGCAACTCTTAGGAGCGAAGAGTTTTTTTTGTTCTCAAATGGGAGAAATTGCTTCCGGGCTTTTTTTGGCATTAAGACAAAATTTCAATTATGTTGATGCTTACGTCTACAATTCTTTTTTTGCATTTCTATTTCTTTTAGCGCACAAAGCGCGATATTTACTGAAACTATGCTTGACGTGTATTGACTTTGACTACTTGTGAACAACTGTTGTGTAATATGTATAGTTCTTATTCGATGAGATATAGTTGCGTCGGTACATAATTGATTTGTATATTTTAATTCAATGTTTTAATACATATTATACCGATATACATATAGATTCTTGAAACAAAAATTTTCACTTATTTGCCTTCTGGCCGGAAACGAAAAAAAGCTTTTAGTGCAATTCCTGCGTTATTAAAATGTGAAACACGACAAAGTTGCTAATATTGTAAAAGAAGTAACTCACCAACCTATGTTTCAGTTTTCAAATTCCTGTCCATTGTTAAACCATGTCAATGATGAACGATAATAATCGTTATATATTACAGTGAATGTGGAAAAGGGCATAGGACTGTTATCTAAAATTCCACCGTGTTTTATACTCATCTTGCAGAAGACTTCGGTATGGCGAGTATACTCCTCATGCTCCACGAGAAAAGGACGGCAACAATAAAGTATCTGCTACTGTCGGTGACCATCAAGGTCTGTGATGGAGGAAAAATGGCGTTGCTAAAGTTTTAGTGGCTGTCTGTGGTGTTTCTATGGTAATCTCTGTCGTGTTTTCAAGGAGAGGGGAGTCCAAAAATTTTACCCCTATATAGCCAACACTCATTCAAATCAGGTTCACAAATCTTCTTTTTCTTCATTCTAACAAATAAGTGATAGTTATGAATGGCACTAAGAAAAATATGCGCAGTCTCGTAGGAAAAAAAAGCTTCTTCAAGATTCACTTTGCAAAAATAGAAAATACTTCTTAACAGATCTTAATGGATGGCCCAGAATAAATGTCCCTCTCAATGTTTTGGCTATAACTTTTTTTTCTTTGTGTCCTATAGAGCTGATTGTTTTTCCGAAAGATGCGCCGTGAAATTCTCTACAAAACAGTAATCAAATCTATTCCTCAAGAAAGTTAAGGGAAAAAATTAAACGAAGATTATCCAACACATAAAAAGTACCCAACTTTCAAAGCTAACGAGTGTTTCATAGTGCATGGTCGTGGTTTGTATCTTTTTTTGTTCATCATCTAGTAAGTTTATTTTAAAAGGATAGTATATGAGAAGATACAGCGTGAAAAGCTCTACAATTTACAAACAACAATTTATTTTATGTATATGCACATTTTGTTATTTAAAATAAGCAACGTTCCGTGAGACCAATAAATGATCTTTTCGTAGCATCTAAAATTGGTCGGACAAAGTTTTTCTCACTTTGAAAGAAAGAGTGCATAAGGTTTTTAATGTAACATGTAGATCGTTTCACGCTGCATCTTCTGATATACTGTCTTTTTAAAATAAACTTACTAGATGATGAAAAAAAGAAGTACAAACTCCGACCGTTCATGGGACACTTGTTAGCTTTGAAAGTTGGGTACTTTTTATGTGTTGGATAATCTTCGTTTAATTTTTTCCCTTAACTTTCTTGAGGAATAGGTTTGATTACTGTTTTGTAGAGAATTTCACGGCGCATCTTTTGGAAAAACAATCTGCTCTATAGGACACAAAAGAAAAAAATTATAGCCAAAACATTGAGAGGGACATTTATTCTGGGCCACCCGTTATAATAATTTTTGCTTAAATGAAGCATCTTGTTAGTTGTCCACTCATTCTGCGATAATCAAACTTTCATGTAGACGCTGCATGTGCTAGATGCTAGTCTGATAAAAAGATCTTGAATGAATAATTCTAACTTTTTTGTTTGGTAATACTTATGATTGATTAATATGCATGCAATAAAAATGCTTCAAAGAATGTCATAGAAGCTTGAGTAAACAGCTTGTAGGTCACGTAAGCAATTTCCCCAACTAATAATAATCGAATAAAAATGTCTGGATAGCAAAACTATAACGTAAGCTATATTTAAATAATCAAAGATAGCTTTCATACTCTAGTAAAAGATAAGCAATATAAGATGCTCCTGATGTGCTTTTGAATTTAGTGAATTGTGTTTATAGATTCATATTTTACTGTAAATGAATTTGTAAAATATAGTAAGATCTACGAGTACCCATTCCATAACAATGGAACAAATCAGCAGAGACATTGAAAAATAATGATGGGTTCTTAGATTCATGTTCTAAATCTTGGAAATTTCCATTTTCTTAAGCGATACCAAAATTAACTCTTGTGCATTCTTTTGGCCATATTTTCCAAAGCTCTTTTTAACTGCCTAATCACATTATAAAGGCAAAAAGTTGAAGGATTAAACATACAGCCATTACTAATGGCATGTTTTCATTTACGTGATCATATATATCATCAGAAAAACTGAGCCCACGACACCAAGAAATCATTGATGTAAAGAAACTTTGGCCTGAGCTAAGCAAATTATTTATCATAATTTTCTGATGAAAAAATATTAATTCTCATGATATCTAGTAGGACGCAAACAAATTCAACATATGCTGCTCAGCATATTGTCGGGGCACAAAATTAAAGCTCGAGTAATGAAAGAGTGGGCGTGATTATACATGTAAGTACTCACCAGAATATTATATAGTTCTTACTGCCACGAATGTTTATGTATCATGTGAACGTGCCATATTCAGTTGCTGTTTCAGTGCAATATTTACATCTTTTTTTGAAATTATCTGAAATGCATGGTTAGGCATTATATAATTATATAATCAATAGTTCTTGCATCCAATCTCGTAATACCAACGCTTTCTTTAATTTGATATCTCTACGGGTCGAGTCATTGCAAAAATATTTCTTTCATTTATTTTCTAAATATGAAGGCTTTGATTATCTTTACGCACTATCTTGCATAGCTTTTGATATCCTTCGTTCATTTCTATTAGGCGCATATAAGTAGACCTTTTAAGTGTCATCAGGTCATGTTACATTGTGACCAACATTACCGCAATCATTAAGCCAATGAGAAGAGGTGCTTTTCTTATATAGCTCTAGCCGATGGCGTCCTATCTAACACATAAATGCTATTTATACACAGCTCTGCAAAGATACTACTGTTTATTTTACGTTGAAGTCATGTCAATCTGAAACGCAAAATGGACAGTAATACACGAAAAAACTACACAGACGATGATATTTGTTTTTATGGTTCTACTTTGATTCTCAGTCAACAAAAAATTGCTTTTGTAGGAAATAAGTTAAAAAGAGTCCCCGTGACTTCTACCGTCTAGTCTCCAACTGTCAATTCGTTTCGTTTATATGGGTTCAAAATGTATATCTATCACTAAGCAAGATTGGTGTTTTGTTAAAAGAAGTTATTCGTCCGATTAATATGACATATGCTCAATATGTTTTTAATACTTGCGACTACTTTGATAACAGTGTCATCAACAGAGAAAAAACTGCATGCGTTATTTCTATGAAAATATATAAAAAAAACAAGATAATAGGAAATTTTTACTACGAAGCAATTCATACTCTAGTTACTAAGTTATAATCAATTTTCAAAGACACGCGTTGCCGAGATTTTTTCTAAACTCATATCATTATGTTCCGCAAAAATTTGAACTATTCATAGTAATCGAGTGAGAGTTATTACTATTGGGTGGAGCAATCTAGTGATTGTATTTCTGTATCAGGTTTTAATTGAGTTAACGGAACTCTTCTATAGTCTCTATGAAACTGATGCGGAAATACTTGACAACACATTTAATTAAATAATGATTACAACTCAATAAGTAGAATTAAAATCAGCCCATGATAAAAATTTTCTATGGCTGTGTTTTTTAAAGATATTTTAATAGAAGTAACGCCCGCCTTTCTTCTGTCTATGGCACTAATATTAAGGTAGTCGCAAGTGTCAGAAGCATACAGAGTAATTTTTTTATTAAACGTAAAAATAAACTTTGTTTTCATTATTTTTAGTTCGGTGCAGAATGTTCTCGAACTCTCATATATGTTACCTTACATATGGCTTGCATACACTGTAAAACAAAACGTAGAATAATAAACCCTTAAAAAGGGTTTATTATACGTTGCACTTTCCTAAACCTCTAAGGGTTTATTAGACCTTCTAAACCCTTTTTTCGCTCATAAATCCTTAGGGGTTTAGGAAAGTGCGACGTATAATAAACCCTTTTTAAGGCTTTAGGAAGGCTCATAAACCCTTAAAGGGTTTAGGAAATCGATAATAAACGATAAAAGGGTTTATCAATATACGGTGAAGGATTAAGGAATTTAATAAACCCTTTTCATAGGGTTTATTATTCTACGTTCTTTTTTTTACAGTGTAGGCTTATTCGTTCTCATATCTGTAGTGTGGCTAGGGGTGGCACTTTAAAAAACACAGCCATAGNAATACAGATGTTGGAAGCTGGCAACATCGACTTCTTGTAATAATTTAATGCCACATTTTTTTAAAAATACACAAATATTTTATCAACAAACAGAATACGATAACAACTACTAACCAAAACTAAAAATCAAATTGTTCTTTATTGTGTAGAATCGAATCTGAAATTACAATATACTTTATAACTTCCATTTTTGCTTTCTAAATCACGATTTTTTCCAGCTTCCAACATCTGTATTTTGTGCACTCACGTGAAGTTTTTTTTATTGACCAAAAAAATATGCGTCATTCAAATTGAATTGAAAGAACAAAATTTTCTTTTTCCAACATTTTGCAATGCTGATTCATTCAGAATGCATGATATTTTAATTTGGTTATTTCCAACATGTCTTTGTATTTAAAACACACAGCAAAAGCTTCATTTTAGGCAAGTAATTTCTACGATAGGCAATGAGTGATAATATCGACAATCAGAAATCTCTGCTTATTTGGCTCGATGACTCTAATAGTGATTCACAAGAAAATGTTATCGTTCGACAAGAGTTGTGTCTTCTCAATAGTAATTTTAAAATGTTCCAAACTAAAAACGAATGTGAAGAATATATAAAATCTCAATCTGCAGATGTTCATATTACATTAATCGTTAATGGTAGATTAGGTCATCAATTAGTACCTAATATTCATGATCTACCACAAATTATTGCCATTTATGTATATTGTATGAATCAAGAAGAACACAAGAAATGGGCCTTAAATTTTGCTAAGGTATTCTATGATAATGATATTACTAACTAAGAAAACGAAATTAATAAATGTAGAAGATTTTATATCATATTCTATAGCTTAAAATTGGTATGAGAATTAATAAGTTAAACTAGATTTCCATGATAAAAAAAAATTGCATTAATTACTAGTAATCTGTTGCATAAACCATTTAATCGACAATGTTGAGAAATTAGAACTATGAATTAGTTTCTTTTCTTGAACAGAATCGATTTCATTGTTTTAGGTCAAAGGTGTTTTGGCAGATTTTAATGACCTTAGAAGAAATCTTCAACCAAGCCATACTGATACATGTCACTATTCAATAGTCAGTGAATTACCTACAACTGATACTACAAAAACAGTAATTACACAAATTGAATCAACATATGAATTAGATGATTCATATTTTATATCTGACACTTGTTTCGATTGTTTTGTTCGAATGAAAATGGATTTGACAGAAAAAGACGATTTTGTTTCTTTATGCCAGGATGCATTACAAAGAAGTGAAAATTTATTACCAATTCTTCGGGAATTTCAAGAAGGTTACGATCCCAATCAAGCAATATTCTGGCTTTATAGACATCCATTTTTTCATGTATTCATAGATAATATGTTCAAACTTGCACATATAGATTCGATGTTACCATGCCGATTTTTTATACATGATATTCACAAACAATTTGAACAACATAAATGTACTTCAACTATTGAAGTATATAAAAGTGAAATAATATCCAAAGAAAAGTTTCAAAAATTAAACAGTTTTAATGGAAAAATTATTGCAATGAAATCTTTTTTTTTGGGAAGTACGGATCGTAATACAGCACTTTTATATATGCCGGATATAAGTTCATCTAATGAATATCAACGCATTTTATTCATAATTGAAGCTAATCCACAAATTGAAAATGTTAAACTATTTGCTAAAATTAGTTCATTAACTAAGAAAGAAGATCCAAATGATGTACTCTTTATGATTGGATCTCTTTTTAAAATTACTGAAATTCAAAATGAGCAAGATGGTGTAATAAATATTAAAATGTCATTATGTGGAAATGATACTGAGAATCCAATGAAAGCATTATTTGATCAAGTTAAGCTTAAATATATGAATGATAATCGAGAACTAGATGCTATCGATTTTGGTCAAATACTTTTTGAGATTGGTCATTCATTACGTCATGAAAATATCTCCGATAGAGGTGAAAAATATATTGTCTCGTATGCTGAGAAATTACCAAATGATCATCCAGATCGTCTTCGCTGTTACGATGCATTAGGAAATCTGAATTTACAGAAAGGCAATTTGGAGTCACGTCTCAATTGGTTAGAAAAATCATTCAATATAAAAAAAGAAAGATTACAGCCAAATGATCCAAATCTAATTGACAGCTATCAAAATCTGGCATTAGGTTATTTACATAAAAAAGATTTTACACAAGCGCTCGATTATTTCACGCAACTTTTAGGACTATTAAAGCAATTATATGGTGATGATCACACTTGTCTTACGTTTTGTTATAATTATATGGCTAATATTTATGAAAATGAACAAAGATTCTTGGAAGCAATTTCATGTTATTATCAATCTTTATCTATTATGACAAAAAATAATGTCGATGATATACCTAGTTTTGCTGCGATATACAATAATCTTGGTAAAGTATATACTTGTCTGGAATATCATCATCTTGCATTAGGATTTTACAAAACGTCACTTGAAATGAAATTGAAATATCTTCAATCTGTACATCCATCAATAGCAATAACATACCAAAATATTGGGCTCGTTTATGAATGTATGAATGATATTCAACAGGCACGAGAAAATCTCGAAAAAGCAGTGAATATTTATCGTCAATCATCAAACATCGAACAATCATGTATTACAGAAATTGAAGAAATTATTCGAAATTTACCAACTTCGCCTACATAATATTATTCAATATTAATAAAAAAATTAAAATAATTTATCGTCTTCCGTAAAAACAAAAACCTTTCTTGTTAGTGTTTGTTTCTTTTTATAAAAAATATATTTTTTTATTTTTATATTTATATTAAAACATCCAAAAAAAATAATAAAACAAACTTTTTTCAAAAAAAAAACTTATTAGTGCAGCCCCTTTAGGATTGAAATGTAAAACTCACCTGTGTTCTCATTATACTAATACAAAAATACGTAAAGTGAAAAATCTCTAGCAGCCAATAGTTCTTTTCTAAGGGAGTCGATCGCCAGGGAAACGATCTGTTCTTTTTTTATTTCTGCATTTCGAACAGAAATTTTTTCTTAATTTAATATTATTATTTTTGTAACTGTGGATTTAACTGGAAAAAAGCCTGTTATGTGTATTCATTATGTTTGCGGAAAATCTCAACACACTATTATAGATCTTGATAAGGTAAGAAAAATTGGTATTGTTTATTTTCCAAAGGTGTCATGTATTTAATTCACGCTTTTTATCTTGATCAAATGACGATTGTGATAAATCAATGCGTCATTGCCCATCATCCTTGCCATCTTGAACATTAATTTTTATCTGTACAAAAATCAAAAACTGCACTATTTAAAGCGTTCACATACGTATTGCGACCATACATTTTTTTAAAAAGATTTTGGAATGTTCTAGAATTCTCGAAAACAGTTTAACTAGGGAATGTTTTCCAACTGATCGATCGCTTGTGAATTTAGACTTCGTGCATAAGGTAGACATCATTGACATATGAAAAATCTTAAAAGACTAAGTCCTCTTAGGCTTTTTGTGCACGGTTATAAGAATTTTGTTGGAATTTTAGCCTCTGACACGGTAAATATCAACAAATCGAATGATGGTATTTTGACCTGATATTTTGCCTAGACATTGCTCTATTGATCAGTAGAATATCCTGCAAATTTCACATCAAAAGAATGTTTCCTTCTCGAGATAATAAAATTCCCAAAAAATCACTTAGATTGCACGAAAGATATTTATATATTCCGTTTTTTTGTGACTTTAACATCTCGTAAAGAAAATATTCTTTTAAACTAGAATATCTATGGGCGAAACATTAGGTCGAAGTACTGTCATTTGACTTGTTGATATGCATTATGCCAGAAGTTAAAATTCTAGTAAGATGCCTATAACTCTCGACAGGAAAGACCTAAGAAAACTTAGTCTTTTGAGATTTTTCATATCTCAATGGAGTCTCCCTTATGCATATGGTTCGAATTCAAAAGCGATTGATCAATAGAAAACATTTCCTTGTAAGTCTTGTCGTAAATCTCGTTCAGTCAGAACTAGACTGACCTGCTTCACGCTCAGTACCTTTTTCCGTTGCTAAGGAACTCGGGAAAAGGAGTCCGATGCCTGTTGTTCTCGCTTGCTATGAAAACATAAGCAATTATCAATTCGATTACTAAGATCTGTAATGAGAAAGGAAAGCCGTAAAACTTCAACTTAAAATTTATGCGTAGTACTTTCTTCGAAATTATATGTGAGTTCCACAAAATCTTTTTACGGATCAAAGTCCATTCCTTTATTAATATTTAAATACAAAGAAAATTAAATATGTTTATTTTTAGTAAATTCTAACACGTCTACTAGCAAAATAAAATAAGATCAATGATTGAGATATTTAAATAAAAATGTTTAGAATTATTACATTTTAAATTTTATCATTTTTATGTGTCCAGGTTGGACGTGTCTTTTTAATAAATGACTCAAGTCCATGTTGAGTATCCTTAAGTTCTAGATTTTCAATCATACCACGTGTTGCTACTTGATAATCATTAATCAGATCATCTTTTTCATCTTTCATTTGTAAATATTTTTTACCAATAGCAACTACTGATCGACTATGTGCACAGATCTGTTGAGCGATTTTATTTGTTTCACGTTCTAAATCATTTTCACTAACAACACGACTAACAAGACCATGGTCATAAGCTTCTTTTGCTGATATTGGTTCACCGGTAAACAACATTAATGAAGATAATTTTGGATTTGTAATTGATCGACGAACAGCAACAGCTGGTGTAATACAAAATAAACTATTGAATATAAAATTTAGTTAACAAATAAATTTATATAAATCATAAATATTTTACCCATGTTTAACACCAGGAACAGAAAATGAGGCATTTTCACCAGCTACGACAATATCACAACTTGCTACAAGTTGACAACCAGCAGCAGCAGCTAGACCAAATACTTCAGCAATAACAGGAATAGATAATTGACGAACTCTTTAAAAAAAAACATTATTTATTATTTATTATTTTGATTTTTTTTATTAAATATATGATATACTTTAACATCAATTCAGTGCATCGATCAAAAACTGAATTACATGCTTTTGTTTTACTTAATTCAGATAATTCTTTAAGACTATGACCAGAACTGAATACAGTTTGATCACCAGCAGTAAGAATAATAACACGTGAACGTTGTTCATTATCTTCAATAGCTTTGATCAAATCATTGATCATTGCAAGTGAAAGAATATTACGTTGACGTTGATTATTTAGTTTAATACGACAGATTTGTTCATTATCACTTGTCGATATATTTACTAAACTTGTTGTTGATGAAGCATGACGATGTAAAAGATTTTTATATGGATAATTAAAACAAATAATTCGTCGTAAAAGCATTTATTCTATCTGAAAATAATAAAATTCGAAATTAAATATGAAGAATTTTATTTTTTACTAAATCATACGCTTCATGAATCGCAACATAATGTGAATTTTTGTGACACACAACTAACAGTTCTTTTACATGAACCTGAAGACGATTTACAAAAGCTTAGATAAAAGAACCCAGATGTAACATCAAATGAAATCATACAAAAAATCATAGTCTCAGAAATCTTACACTAAATTGTACTATAAGATGCTTGAAAAACCTTAGAATCGCATAAGATTTTCTCTGATCTTATAATAATATCTTACAAGGTAACTGGATCTTTCAAGAACCTTCATATATAACTTAGCGTTAGGATTCTGAGATTACGATTTTTTTAAACGAATTTCATCTGATCTTACAAAATCAGAGGTACGATCTTATAAAATCTTATCGTCTGTTTGTTTGATCTGCAAAGCTAAATCGAAAGACAATAGTACAGAAAAACCAACAATTTCAAATATTTAGAAAAAAACAATTGATAAATTTATTTTCAATATTCTTTAGTTCATGAAAAATCTTTAATAAAACTAAATTTTTCGATTATTATTTAACTTAGAAAATTCTCCTAATTTATTTCAATATGAATTGTCGCTGTCATGCATGGTTTAAAATAGTTAGCTGATTGCCTATAGTGATATTCGAAAAATGAATCAAACTCTACTACTTCTCATTGTATCAGTAAATCGATATAATGACCAAGTTCTATGAATATCATATTTAGTTGTAAACGAATGATTATATTTGATTCGGTATCAAACGGTATACTAAAATCAAGTAAGAATGCTATAGAAAGAAATCAATATTTTTTGATTTCTCTTCAATATTTCCTTATGAATAGAATGATCTATGTTCATAGATGATTGATTGTTGAAACTTTTCAAAACTTTTGTGTTTCTCATCCACTATGGATGATATTGATAATCGATTAATTGATAGTAAAAATTTGAATTCAATTGCAACTATTCTTTTTTTCTAAGCCATACTAAATTTTCACCGAATTTTTCGTTTCATTAACAATATGTGACTATTCACCTTGAAGTCCATGTCAAGTTGAATTGGAAGAATATTCTAATGCATTCGATTTTTTTTTTGGTGTTCGATTATATGAAATTATAAATTGAAACGAAGAATTCAGTTACATTTCAACATGATATAATCATTCGAAGCAAAGATATTTCATCTGTTCTTTATCATCAAGTTTGTTATTATGTTTAACAAAGAGTCACACTTACCTGTTTGTTGTCATCAATCATTTACCTTGAGTGAGCACGTGTTCATTATCTAAACAAAAAAAAATTAAGTTTAGAATGCTTTTCAAAAGTTGTCACTAATGAACGTGTACAAAAGTTACAAAACATAAAAAGAGAAAATAAACTATATAGAAACAAAAAATAAGCTAATTAACCATTTGCATAAGTGCTGGAAAGTGATCGAAATGTAATTGTATTGAGAATTGGCGACTGTTGTGATGAATACTATTAAATTGGAAACCAAATCTACGGAATAGGTAGTTTGAAGATGCCACAACTTTTGACGATCAGAAAAAACGCAAATATCAAGTTACCATTTTATAATAGGATATCTGAGAATATTCACTGTTTCCACTTAGGAAATCATTCTTTTCTTCTAATAAGAAATTTTTTAGTATAAACATGCGATAAATTACCACGTGTTTTAAAATAATATTAATTACTTTCGAAAATTTTTTCTCATTTAAAATATACTCAAAAACGTATATTTATATAAATTATTAATTATATTGAAAGATAATCTCATTCTTATTAATAAAAATAAAAAATATTTGATTCATCTACTTCATTGATGATATTCTCTACGCAAAGTATATATTTCAAAACTAAATCGTTGAAGGAATAAACAAGCTCTATGTATTTTTCATAACAAATAATCCAATCTTAAACATACATATAATATTTAGCAATTAACCATTAAAGAAGATCTTAAATTTATTTATATGATTTTCCAAACTGTTTATTATTTACTAATGTTTACTTAATCAAATAGTGAGTACAAACTCTTAACGTTTTTATTTAAATTTAGTTAATAACTGTTATAGATATAATCATTCTGTAAGATGATACAATTCCTAAGAGAATTCATGTTTGTTTTTAAATACTCAGGAACAGTCAAGATTTCTCATGATAAAAATAGACAAATCATAGTGCTAAAATTCTCCTCGCTGATACCTTTAAACATTTTCGCACTGAAATATTCAAGCCAATTTGTCTACTAATGAGGTAACGTCTTCAGCTGCCCCCTTTCGGATTTCAATGATTTCTTTTGTCCATAGATGTTGCATAGTATTTTTATAAAAACCCTAAAAGGATTTGGGTTTCTCTTGAGATTTGACTAAATTATCGAGATTTTAATATGTCTACTGCCTAGAGGCCGCAAGTTTTCGGAAAACTAGTATTTTCGATTTTTTTGATCTGAAACTTTGTGCACATATAGAGAATTCAACTAGACTAGTTGCCATAAAAAATTCAGAAGTTTTCAACAAAGTCTCTTCAAGTCATAGACTTGTTTCCATTGATAATGCATCCACCATGTATCTTTTGAAAGATTCATATTTTGAAGACAGTTTGTTGAAAACTTCTGAATTCTTTTATGGAAGTTTGTCTAGTTGAATTCTCTATATGCACAAAGCCTTTAGATTAAAATTCGAAAATACGAATTTTCTGAAAAGCTGGAGCCTCTAAAAAAAAAAAATATATTAAAAATTCAATAGCTTAGTGAAATATTAATAGGAACCCAAATTTTTTTAGGGTTGTTAATTAAAACACAATATATCGTATCTATAGCCAAAGTATCATTGAAATGAAAAGGGAGCATTTGACGAGTGTTCCTCATAAGTTCTATGGAACTCCAAAGATATTCTCTTTTTAATTTTATACAAGAATTCCTTTTTCTCAATAGTTTCAAAATAGAATATCTAATCATCTCGAGTTTCATCATTAGAAACTACGAATTCAGATTAGATATATTTCACTAGTTCCAAACTTGCATTCAAACATATAATATAATAATATTTGTTGAAATTTATGTAGTTTATATAATCTAAATCTTGCTAATTAACTGTAGGATCACCTGTCACAAAAATTTTCGATAGAAATATTTAAAAAAAGAAAATGCTTAAAACAGAAAATGTTTCTTTTTTTAGTACAAAAAGTAATCTGAAAGATCCGAGTTCACTATTCGTAACTACATAGAAAACAATTTTAGATACTCGAATAGAAATTTTATAGTCAGCTAAATCTATCTCACACATCAACTGAAAGCCTTCCTATTCGAGTTATTCTTATTCACGTTATAAAACAGAAAAAAGCTCAAGCATAGCTAATATATAACCATAGATCTCGATACACAATCTAGTAAGTCTATAACATTATTAACACTCATAGAACTTTGTGTTGGATGGTAATTTTTTAGTAAAGAGAAAAAATTAACTTTAACCAGTGGGGGAAATTTTTATCAATATCTATATCCATATGATTTATTTATGGTAAAGACGGGTAAAGCTAAATCTCTAAAAAAAAATGATAAGATTCTTATGTAAGAATCACATTATGAAAAATTTTTCATCATAAACAAAAGACAGTTAACATATAATCAATCTGAATAATCCTTTGTCACGCTAATGAATTTTCATTAAATAAGACAAATACAATAGAAATTGACGTTAAACGTAGCACAATTTTCTTTTGTTTTTTTTTGTGGCTTCAACGTTTTCGTTTTTCTACTCGCGAGATAGAAAGAACAGTTAAAGAAAACAATCAATGAAGAGCTTGATAATGGCAAAATATAACATGAAAAGAAGAAGAAAAAAAACCAAAGAATGAACATGAACGCAAGAAACACAAAAAAAAAAGAAAACATTCTAATAACGCTAAAATACAACGTGTTGATGAGGTTGAACAAGATAGAAAAAAAACAAAAAAAAAAAGAAACGAAATCCTTATTTAAACAATAGTAGTTAAACCACAACAACCGGATAGAAGGAAAAAAAAGACTCGCGATTTTATGACGACGACATACCATTTTATTTTCTGTATCATTATCATCGAAAGCCATATAAAGTATCTATCACAAATACTAAATTCAAAAGCAGAAAAAGTTTTTTTTTCTCATTTTGAAAATATCGGTTCTATTACTTTACCAAAGCACAGTCAAATATGATTCACATTATAATACCTATAGAAAAAAAAAGAATCTTTATAAACAATATAGCTAGTATATTGAAATACCATATGAAATTCCTAATAAATCATTTACATGCGCATTAATGGCCATGGTGGTTCTAATGATTGTTGTTGATGAAATATTGGACGTGTTTGATGTAATATATTATTACTCATGCGATTACGTAGATTATTTTCATGAATCTAAAATATATACACTAGAGATCTGCATCACGATCACGGTCGTAACCAATAAAGAAAAAGAAAAAAGAAAGATTTTCGTAACAGCTCTTCATAAAAAGACTAGAAGAATAACTTGAGTTGAACCTTCTGTTGAAAATGCTGTTAGTGACGTGAGGAGATAACAGCCTCCAATAGAAAAAAAAGTTGTGCATCGATCATGACCAGTGTTGGTTAAGATCAATACATAGTATTTTTGCTCTACCGGAGATTATTGTATTTTCAAATTTCAAACGATCTTATTCAAAAGGAGACGGTTCGAAACGAAAGATTAAAATCATGTTATTTCAGAGACGACATTGGCCTGAGTGACTGGCCAATCTAAAATCCATACTGACATTTGACTAATGAGTTGTTGTACTATTCAATCTAAGAATAGTGACATTTGATGTAGTCAACTTTTAACAAAGTTGCATCATATATTCTCTCTGAGATACAAAGAGCAAAACAAATGAATAAGACACATCGGTAATGGTTGATTTACTGGTATGATAACCAGTTTGAAACCCGTATCCGTACTGGATCGGTCGGCTTCATCTCCGAGTTATTCTACTAGTCTCGTTAGGAAAGAATGTTGTGAAAAATGTTTTTCTTTTTGGTCACTATCGTGACCGTGATGCAAATGACTAATATAAAACGAAAAAGACACTAGATTCAAGTGATATAATATTTACATTTAGATGATGAATTCGAACGAGTTGTTCCGATGCTGCATATGAACAACCGGGAACATTACACTAAGAAAATACATTATCAATTTTTCATCCAGAGAACAAAAAAAAAAGAGAACGAATCAAATATCTTACTGGAATATGACTTCGTAAATGATCTTGATAAGCAACTTGATGAGGAAAGCCAAGTCCACATGTAGCACACCAAAACGGATGAAAACCTCGCTGTTGTTCATTATTATTTGGCCAACGCGGTAAAATCGATTCCAATGGTGTTGGTGTCGATGGTGTCAACGAAAATTTTGGATTGACATTCATGAGAGGTGGTGCACTTATTAATGGCGGAGGTGTAGTTTTAACAAGTAATGGAATAATTCCATTATTATTATTATTATTATTATTAATATTATTATTATTATTTGACGATGATGAAAATGAAAATGATCGATTAGGTTGTTGTTTATTTTTATTATTTGAAGATGAAAAACATCGTTCAGTTGTTTGCAATGGTGGTAAATTACGTCGATTACCTTGCATATATGCTAATGAAGAATTATATGGTTGAGAATCAGTTGTTGCTGTTGATTGTTGAGGAACTCGTAACGGCTGAGTATTATTATTTAATCGAGATGATGAATACATTAAATTATTATTAAATGATATTGGAGGTTGAGAATACAATGATGATGGTGATGTTAAATGAGATTGCATTTGATATTCTTCTGGTGGAGATATTTTTTGATTTTCATTAGTACCAAATAATTTTTTAAGAATATCTTGCACTTCAGATGGATTTGATAGAAGTTCTTGAACTTGTTCTATACGTGGTACTGAAACTGGTGGTGATGTTATTGAATTTACATCTGGTAATGGTGGTGGTGGTGGCGGTGGTGGAAGTGGAGGTGGAGGTGGATAGGAAAAATAAGATGTATTTTGATAATCATTCTAAAACAATAGATTAATTGTTTTTATTTTTCATTCATATTTAATTTTTTTTCTTCTTCTTAACTTACCGACTGTTCTGATTCGGTAGATGATATTTTATTATTAGTAGTAGTATGATTACTTTGTGAATCTTCATTTAATAATGATGGTAATGAATGAGATTCATTTGAAGATGTAATTTTAAATTTTTCATTATCATTACAATTTGAATTAGTAGCAGCAGCTGCAGCACGTTTTCGTTTATTTGATAATTTTTCATGAATAATTCCAAGTAAATGTTGTGCATGACGAGTATCACCTTGTTGTGTTAATTTCATTGCACGTTCAATCATTTGTTTAATAAGAATATCTTCATCACTTTCAGGTTCTATTGATGTTTTATTTTCTTCATTTGATATAACTATAGAATGTATTTGTTGTTGAGGAGTATTAGATGTTGATGAACTACTTGTGTTTGATAATGTTGGTGAAAGAAGTGTAGATGATGAATATGTTGTACTATTTGTAACACTAATTTCATCAACACATTGATCAGCTGGTGTTGATGATGATGAACTAAGACGTTTACCAACATTTACAGCTGCCTATAAAATAGAATATCATTTATAAATAAATGAATACTCTTGCAGCCGATATTTTCCATATATATATATAATTAGTTACGAGCAAAAATAGTACCAATTTATACATCGAATTATTATCGATCATATACAGTGGGTCATAAAATTATTCAACAAAATTGATTTTCTGCTATTATCGTAAGTGCTAGAAATAATTGAAATAGTAATTCGAATAGAGAAAACAGTTTCTAAAGACAAGAACTTCAGCACGTCAAAAAGGTAGTTTTTTAGTCCGTAGAATGAAAAGCATATAATTTTATTTAAGTTAAATGCTCTACAAAATAAGACATCTCAGAATTCTCTACAATGTGTTTTAGCTGATCTACAGCAATCTCATGGAAACTCCTAAAGTCGTTTTTTTTTTCAATTTTCTATAGAAAAAAAAAAACAAGATTTGACCTTCAATCAAATTGCTGTATTTCAGCTAAACGACGTCCCAGAGAACTTGGAGACGTCTCATTTTTCTAGAGATTTATTTGCTCTATCATTCTATGTAGTCTAAATAAAATTATATTTACCCATCTCAGGTACTGAAAATCTAGTTTTTTTTTCTTTTTCTAAAGTCTCTGTCTTTGAAAATCTGATGATATTTTATATTTTCTTATATTCATTTTGGAAACAATTTTCTGTATTTGAATTACTTTTAGCGCTTACGACAGCAGAAAATAAACCTTGTTGAATAATTGTGGTATTCACTGTATATTGAATTCGATAGAAATTAGTGTTATTTGCGGATTTCTTCGGATATCGTAATAAGTTACAATCAATATATTCTTCTTATCATGGAATATAAGAGCTCATATTAATCAAAAAAATATTTGTTATTAATTTTGGCAACAATTTATTCAAGATTTTTGTAAGGCAAGCTAACCTGAGCCATCGCACAAATAATTTGTTGCGTCGTTTGATCTAAATCAGGGTTAGCAAGTAATTGTCGAGCTGTTTCAGCAAATTCTTTTGCTTTTGGACCAGCATTTGCTAAAAATTCAGGATTTTCAATAAGCTGTGATAAAATTTTCGATGGTGATTGTGAACCATTTGATGATGATCGTTGTCTTTTAGTTGGTGGTGATTGTAAAGCAGCTTCATCATCATCAATTTTACTATTACTAAATGGTACTATTGATGGTACACGTTGTTTTGTTTCATCTTGTTTATCATATGAATGACGACGACGATGACGATGATGATGATGCTTATGAGATGATTGCAACTCATCTTCATCGACATCATAAAATGATTTTTTATGATGATGTTTTCCCATATTATTACTACATTGACAGAAAAAGATTTAATCTAAATCAAAAATAAATAAAATGATTTAAAATTTTTGTTTTTTTCGATCATCGACATTTGTTTATTATTTTTCTTCTTCAATAGTTTCGTTATGCTACTTCATAAATATTGCCATTCTCAATAAGCGTTGATTCTCCAATCGGGTAATTTATTTTGTATGATTTTAAATATTTTATTTTAATCATTATTTGATAAATGAATTTTTTTATTTTCTTGTCATTTTTTAATAGAATTTCATATTAATGAAATTTGTCGCTAGTATCAACGATAATGATTCAATTGGACAATTCAATGATAATTTTTTTTGGTGACCAAGAAAATTTAATTCAAACTAAACAGATTTTCGAAAGAGGAATTAGCTTTAATTCATCAATTGAACCAGTAAACATTATTGAAAGTGATGAGGTGTAATTTCATAAAAACTGCATGAAATAAGATAATATTTTTATAATCAAAGGAAAAATAAGAAGTAGACGCTACAGATAATAAAATTCTATCGAAATTGATACAACAGAACAATGACTGTTGTTTGTATGTTATATGATCGATTTTGTTCTCAAACTTAATGAAGTATGAAGATATTCATTGATAAAGATAATATGTTGAAGTGTAGATTGCTTTATTGGTCATTAAACAAGAGAAATTATCGATATTTCTAAGAAATAAAATAATAATGTACTCTCTTATAATGGATACAACTGTTGCCAACATTACATTCAGTTGCGGCATCATCCTCCACATATAACTAGCTCAGTCGAATTTAAATAATTTTAATTAGACTCAGTTGAATATAGCCGGAATCTTTAGTAATGTGGAAAATTATATTTTCATTGCAGATACATTTTAAATGCTCTTTTGAAAAATAAAAATTTCTGTTTTCATTTTCGATTCTGTCAATTTTCAGTGGTTGCTTCTACAGAGATCACTAAATAACATCCATGTTGAAATAATAAACATTCCGCTTCTCACTGAATTTCAACAGTTAATCAATAGTTCAGCATCCAAGATCATGTGTGCCTGGGTAGATCTACCTGAATAATTCAAATACTTCGATACGTATCCTATCTGATATACCTTCAAAATTTGAAGCTAATGTGATATCTTGTATATCAAGACCTAACATATTTCCTAATCAACAAACATGTATATCAACAGCAGAAATGTCTTCAAGTCAGAAGCGAAGTTCAACTTTGTCTAAGAGTAAATATAGGCTTTAATAATCAATTTTTTTTTTGTCCGGCAGCTTTTAATTGTATTTGTAATGAGGTTGAAAACAATGTCTACCATCACAGTTGATTTTTACATAAAAAAATCGGACGACATTTCAACTATTCTTTTCTAAAAACAGATGTCCTGTAGAACAAGTGATTGCTTGTATACTATACTCTAAAATATCTTGTGAACATCTTTGTCTACCAATGAAAATTCAACTGAAACCATCCCATAGTCACCACTTTTAGTCTCAATGTAAAGATACCGTTCATCCTCTAGTCAACTGAAGAAAACATTTAACAAGAACTTTTTATCTATTTTGGTGACTAAATGATTTAGAATTTCATAATGAGAATCCTTATGTCCAATTCAAAATCTCTTTCTATCCGTTACTACTCTTAACATAAAACTTATATTGAGCATAAATTTGTAGTCGAGAGGAGAAAGATTACTTATGTTCATGACATTTTATCCAAACTATCAACATTTATTACGGAAGAGTATTCAAAATATAAAACGATCATGAAATACAATACTTCATAAAAATCAGTTTCAGTTTTCATTTTTTAAAACTTTTATAAAAATAGAAAGATACAAAACTTTCTATTGATGAAAGAGGTCAACAACAACAACATAATCAGTCTTACTACTTCAGTGACAAATCTAGAATTTTTGTGTATGGGAGTGATCATAGTCACCAAACATGTTTTCAAGTCAAACTAGAAATCGTAGCGACTCATTTTTTGGCGTTTTCTGCTAAGAAAAATCGAAAATGAGGTTAGCAGAAAGGAATGATCCGTCTCTAATGCTTTCCCTCTAAATCCACTGCTGCATTACCTATCAAACCTAGAATTCATATTTTGTAAGAAAACAAGAAGGGATTGTCCCATCCCACATGGGATTCTGACACATGTTTTATTAATTGCAATTGCTCTATAAATGGAATCTATAATTTATTTCTGTGAATATATTTTCCGAGTTTGACACGTAACTAATAGAAACAGGAGATGTAGCAAATTCATTTTTAGTGCATATCTTTCGACATGAAACATCTTAAAAATCAGATTATTCGGACTATATAAAGTAAGTCGATGAGAATATTCATTTTTTTTGAGTGTTACAAAAGTAAAATAATTGGCATATAACGAGCTCATCACTGAATATAATTCCCTATAGACTCCTCTCCAATTGCTTACAAGTTAGAAACGAAATATTTCGTTTTGAAAGTATGCATTATATATATGCATTTCGCCTAAATTAGATGGAGGCACAATCTTTCTTTTTATTGGCGCAATAACTACTACATGAAGACGTATGAATATTTTACTCGAAAATAATACTACCTTAATATTTAAGTGAAGACAAGGCCTTATCTAGTGATTGAATCTATTACACTAAGGATTAAATAGCTTTATGAATAAAAATTAGCTTTTATGTAAATCTCTTTTTCCTTCGATCATTCATTGGAATGTTCATCTGTTACTGATACTTTTTTTTAAAATAGGATTTTTATATATTTTTTTCTGTTGTAAATTAGAATAGTTTCTTTTGTTTTGCAGAAGTCTGTGTGTTTCATGTGACTCAGTGGGAAAGCAAGTTACTCTTTTCTCTTTTACTTAGTGACGCTCAGGCTTCGATTTTTCTACTGTTATTATTATCAGTGAGAAAAGAACATGATTTGAAAAGGAAGAAAAAAAATTTTTTTTCTCGATTGTGGGATATGAGAATCATACCGTATGTTGTTCGTTATTTTTTTTTCTTCTCCGACTTTGCATGCACCTGTATTCATTTTATTCAAGAATATTCATTTTTATAGATCATCATGTATATAAATCATCACTATGTTTCTTGTTTAATAATATTAATCTATTCATCGTTCATTCTTTGTCAACGTTCATCACCATTACAAGTTGAAAAAGATGCAGCTGTCTATTCACTACTTGAAAAATATCATCATTATAGTGAATTAGATCGTCTTTTACAACAATGGGAAAAGAATTATACAAAAATTGCTGAATTATTTAATATTGGAAAAAGTATTAGTGGTCGAAGTTTATTTGTTATGCATCTTACATCACCACTGATGACTGATATTGAAAAAGAACAAGATGAAAAACAATTATTAAAACCGAAATTTAAATATGTTGCAAATATGCATGGTGATGAAGTAATTGGTCGTGAAATGATGATAGCTTTAATATATTATTTATTATTGAATTCAAAATCAGATACACGTATTAATCGTTTATTATCAACAACCGATATTTATGTCATGCCTAGTATGAATCCGGTAAATAAAGAAAAAGAAAATTTTTCATATTTTCGTTTTTAAACATAGGATGGTTTTGAAAGATCTACTCAAGGTTTATGTGATAGTCGTACAATTCGTGGTCGTGGTAATGCAAATGATATTGATCTTAATCGAGATTTTCCATCACCATTTCAACCGCTTAAACAATTACAAAATGGCACTACTACTGATATTTTTTATGAAAGACAACCAGAAACAGTCGCACTTATGAAATGGATATTAAAAGAAAATTTTGTTCTTAGTGCTAATTTGCATGGTGGTTCACTTGTTGCTTCATATCCATATGATGAAACAATTCATCATACTCCTAATACATATGGACAATCACCAGATGATTCATTATTTCGATATTTAGCACGAACTTATGCTAATAAGCATTTAACGATGACTAAAGGTAAAAAAAAAAACATATTTTTTCCTCTAAGAAACAAAAATAAAATCATGCGTTCTCTTTTTCTTTTTTGATTAATTAGGTGAAGGATGTGCTACTGAATTTCCTGAAGGAATAACAAATGGTGCAAAATGGTATGATGTATCAGGTGGCATGCAAGATTTTAATTATTTACATAGTAACACATTTGAAATAACAGTGGAATTAAGTTGTTGTAAATATCCATCAGTTGAAGATGGTATTCTACAAAAAGAATGGGATAATAATAAAGAAGCATTACTTTCATATATGGAAATGGTATATAAAATAAAAAAATTCAAAAAAGAAAAATATATTTTATTTTATTTAGAGTCATCTTGGTATAAAAGGTTTTATTCGCGATACTGAAACACAAACGGGTATTTCAGGTGCATTAATTCAAGTGGAAGGTGTTCTTCATCCAGTTCGTAGTGTTAAACATGGTGTCTATTGGCGTTTATTATTACCTGGTTTACATAATATAACAGTAACAGCATCAGGATATTTACCACAAACAAAATTTAATGTCAATGTAACCAATGAAAATTTAACAAGTGTAAGATTTTTATATTTGCTTAAACAAAATATATGTAGCAGAATGCAAAAGTGCTCATATATAAAACCGAAAAATGTTTACTCTTAAGACATTGCTATTTGTGCATGTGTCATCTTTGAAAACTTTACTGTATTCCTATTTTACGCTACTTATTATATGATCCATCATAGGACAGATTTAGAGATAGTGTACCCTTCGAACGATTCAATCACTTAGTCTGATCATATATTATATGCTTTTGCATTGCTGAAATCAAAGGAATCCTGTGTGTTCTCAACATATATGCCAATGCTTCTTCTTGATAGAGTCAGTTGGATTGATTCGAATTTGAAAATTTTCGATCCAACAAGCTCTAATCGTCTGAAAAATGTGTAGGACGCCTTAGTTCCCTAATACAAAAAAAAAAAAACAACGGAAAAAGTATGTCGTATCTTACGTGCGATTATCCTATTCTGATTAGAAAATTTTATTGAGAATATCAAAGTAAGGTTCGATCGAGTCCAACAATTTTGGATCGATAGGCTCTTCTTCTAGGACTTCTTAACAAAACAACAAAGTTTTCTGTTCTCATAAAATAAAATGAAACATTCACGAATCAATTACCATTCATAGAAAGGATTTTGATTCTTTTAGGCTTTTCGTCTTGATTTTAATTTACAACCTGCTTTTCAAGATACATCATCATCTATTAAAGATGTTTCATCAATAAATGATGTTTTTAATTCATTATCAAGTTATGCTAAAAAATTAATGAACAATTCACGTGAATATATTCTTAAAACTTTAATTGAACCAACAAATAAATTTCAATATCATAATTATAATTCAATGGTTGAAAAATTAAAAGAATTAAATAATAAATATCCAAATATAACAAGTTTATATACAATTGGTAAAAGTAATGAAAACCGTGATTTATGGGTTATGATTATAAGTGATCAACCACTTATACATGAACCAGGTGAACCAGAAGTTAAATATATTGGAAATATGCATGGTGATGAAGCTGTTGGACGAGAATGTTTAATTCTTTTTATTGAATATTTATGTATAAATTATGAAAAAAATGAATACATTACTCAACTTATTAATAATGTAAGTATTGTATTGTTTTCTATTGAAACAATTACAATTACTGTAAAAAATTCTTTTCGTGTTAAAGATTCGTATACATATAATGCCAACAATGAATCCGGATGGTTTTGAATATGAATATAAACAAACAGTACACTTACAAGGACCTGGTCGTTTTAATGCTCATAAAATTGATTTAAATCGAAATTTTCCAAAAATTGAACTTGAACCATTAAACAACAACAATGATAATAATATTGTTATACCAAAACAAAATTCCGATAATAATAGATATTATTTAGATGAATTAACTAATACACAAGAAAATATTGAACCAGAAGTTCGGGCTGTAATGCATTGGTCACTTATTTATCCATTTGTATTATCAGCAAATTTACATGGTGGTGCTCTTGTTGCTAATTATCCATTTGATGGTAAAATACAAGATTCAACTAGAAAAGAAAGCAAATCACCTGATGATCAAACATTTAAAATGCTAGCTAAAGCTTATTCACATGTAAATTATTTAATTCTATTTTCTAAAAAGTTTATTTTTGATATTTTTCAAAGGCTCATCCGAAAATGTATCAAGGTAATGCATGCATTAGATTTAATGATGGAATAACAAATGGTGCTTCTTGGTATATTGTTGATGGTGGTATGCAAGATTGGTCATATGCATATACATCTGATATGGAAATAACAATTGAATTAGGCTGTAATAAATATCCTGATGAAACTGAATTAGAATCATATTGGGATGATAATAAAGGAGCTTTATTAGCTTATATTACTCAAGTATTTATATTATCATTTACAAAATAGAGAAAAGTTCGTTGTTTTTTTTTTCTTGTTTGTTTTAATTTAGGTTGTTCATGGTATTCGTGGTTTTGTATTTGATTCGAAAACAAAAATGCCATTGTCAGGAGTTATTATTCGTGTACATGGTATTCAACATAATGTTAGTAGTTATCGTGATGGCGATTTTTTCCGTTTATTAACGCCTGGTATATATGACATAACAGCTGAACGTATTGGGTATGTGAATTAAATATTTTTACAGTCTTAAAAAAAAGTAGTTGCCCGTCAGCAAATGTTAATATTGTTTATGACATTGAACTAATATTTCTGATGCATGGGTACGACAATAAATCCTGATCGCAAGCACTAGCCCACCAACTTTGTTGACTCATATGTACTGAAGTTATGATTTTTAAATCATCTTCTTCTTGTGATCATCTTATATTAGCCATGTTGTCATCAATATTTTCGTCGAATTCTCCTCATTTGAAAGGCCTATGTCGTTATTATTTATAGTCTGAATTTCGTTAGAAATGACTTTAAAATAACTGAAATATTTTGTTCTCATTAAGAATGTTTGTTGAAGAATAAATGCTGGTGTTTAGTAAGATAAATCTCTTCCACGATGACTTTGACCGACACATTTGAAAAATTTAGTAGAGCGTTTTCCATGAGATGACGAATCTGTTCTGAAAGTTCTAGAGTTGCAGCACTCAATGAAGATGAGTCAGGACTACGACATGAATTCACTATTTCAAGGCATGCTAATTACTAAGATCTTGACTAGAAATGTGCGAGATCAAGTTTTTTTTTATCAGATAAGTTTTTTATCCAGAGGTCTCGGTGTAGAAACAAACAGTTCTTCCGAATTTATTTATCTCACATCTACAATAATTCTTCAATATTCGTTTTTTGTGATTTATTGAATGAATGATTGGCACTTTTTTGGATCATCTTCCTTGAGTTAGTTTTTGATTCATATGATTTATAAGATAATTTGCTTAAGACCATAGGATGTTTAGTCATAAACTTGAGTTTCGATCCTGGGAAATTTTTTTTCTAGTAGTTCAAGTCGCGATTTCAGTGTCATCTCTTCCTTGTGGTTCCGGTAAAGTTTTATTTTTTTGGTCTCGGTTCCGCGCATCTCTAATATTCTTTTTGTGTAACAAGTTTCGGATATAACAAAGTGGACATACATGGCTATCTTTAGTGCTTGAAAAAAAAACAGCAGTTGCTTGTGAAATAGCAAAATTTCGAACACAACTTTTTCTTGTGCATATTTCTACAGAGTATATTTTTCATAATCATAATACCACTACATGTGAACTGACGAAGAACGGGTTGACGCTTACGATTAGGAATTATTATCGTCCTCATGCATCCAAAATATAAATTCAATGTCATAAAGAATACGTGCCCTTACTGATGGGTGTCTAGTTTTATTCAAGACTGTATATATAATTCATCTTTTGGAATAGATATCAATCTGAAACAAAACAAAATATACTAGTTGGCAGTGAATCTTCAACATATGTTGAATTTAAATTAAAACGTAAAGATTTCTTGAATGATAGTAATAATACTAATAATGATATAAAAGGAACATTTTCAACATTTGTTAATATAACATCAACAAATGTTCGAACATTATATCATCACACCAAAGAATTTATACTTCATCAAAAACTTTTTCTTATTATTGCTGGCATATTTGGTTTGTATTTATTACTAATATTAAAATTATTTATTTTTTTCTTTATTCAGCTTTAGTTTTAGCTATTATTTTTGCAATTGTTGTGATATATTTGAAGTTTTGTCAAAAATCAACATCACGTGCTCATACTGGTTTTCAACGATATGAACCTTTAGTTCAAGATGAAAATGATTTGCCAAAAATGGAAAGACATAATGGAAGAAAAGCTTTAAGAAATAATCATGTTATAGTAAGTGAATCATCTGATGATGAAGACGATCAAACATTATTTTCATCAAAAATCAAGAAACCAATGATTCCTTAATAATTTTATGAGAACATCTTGTTTTGTTATTGTGATTATTATATAAGAATGTCTTTCTATTATTTTTCATTCATCTTAAATGCATTCATTCCATTGTGAATCTCATCTATTAAAAATAGACGACTGTTATCCATGAATATTATTTTTCATCGATGCTTTGGTGCTTCGTTCATGCTTTCTCTTTTATCGGTTGGTCGTTCTTTTCTCTATATGATTTTTCCGTTAATAAAAATGCTCAATTATGAAATCTGTTAATTAATGTTTTACACATACGATAGCAATAAGAAAAGATTGTATATTGACGATTGTTTCTCTTGCTTTCTAGTGTTTCATACACTTGAAAAATTCAAGATTTTATCAGTTGTTTATAGAACTATAAATATGTTCCGAAAAACATATACATATATATATATCTATACTATTCATCAGATAATTTACCAATTTTCAGTAGTTTCAAACTTCAAATTTTCAATTCAATTAAGCAACAACTATTCAAGTTTCAAATTTTCAGTATCTTTGTTTCCGCGGCACTCACATCGAGAGAGTGTCTGTGTTTATTTGAAAATTTAAACTTGAAATTCAACTTTTATTTAATTGAGTTCAACTTTCAAGTTCGACACATTTGTCAATTTTTATGAATATATCGAAATTAGTAAAATATATGATTTGCTCATTCAGCAGCATGGTTATCTCTTTCTATATTTGTCTCACTTGCATACATTTCTGTTCCTATATATGCACTGCAGGTGCATTTTCTTTTCTTCTCTCGTTTCTACATGCCTGACGAGTGTCGTCATATATCTGCTGATACAAAAAAAAATAATTAACTGGCGCACATTTACAAGTTGCACAATTTAACATACACAAGGTGTTCGATAAAAACATCTCGCTTATTATTTATTGATAATTATCAACAACCATGGGTAATAAACAATCTGAGCAAACAAAATCAACTGAACTTACAGAAAAACGTTTGTTTTTGCTTTTGCAACAAATTCGTCATATAATATTTTTCTAATGGTTTATTTCTAGAACTCACTTTGCTTAAAATAAATACCGGATATACTGAGAAAGGTAAACATATACTGAATAATATTTAATGGATCTAAATATGTGTTATTTTCTTTTTTTGTATCGTTATTGTACAGAAATCCGAGAATGGCACGAGGTTTGTTTAATTAAATTCCATTTTTTTTTCTAAAATTGTATTCGACGATCTTTCTTTATTTCAGGGTTTCATTCGGGATTGTCCAAATGGTCGACTTGATAAAAAAAAGTTTGTTCAGATCTATCAACAGTTTTATCCAACAGGCAAAGCAGATAACTATTGCAAGTATGAGTTCATTTTAAATGATCATTAAATCGATAAATATATTACACTTATTCTTAATATCTAGATATGCATTTAGTACATTTGATACTAATAATGATGGTAAAATTGATTTTCAAGAATTTCTGATAGCCATTGCAGCTACAAGTCAAGGTGATCTTGATGATCGTCTTACCGCTGTTTTTGAGATGTACGTTCATTCTATTTGTTCTATTTATTCTTTCACTTGTTTTGTTAACATGCAGGTATGATTTTTCGCATAATGGAGTAATCGATCAAACAGAACTGACTGTATTAATCACAGCTATGGTAAAGTTTAAGTGTTATAATTGTGTTCGAAGAAATAATCTTTCTGATTTTCAGTATGATCTTCTTGGTGAAACTGATCGTAAAGATGATCACGATCCAAAAAAACTTGCTGCAGACATCATAACACACCTTGATGTTGATGGTGACAAGAAATTGAGTAAGGCAGAATTCATTACTGGGTATGTTTGCACAATAATAACAAATGATCAATTATTTATATTTTTTTTTTACTTTTTTTCTAGATGTAAAAACAATAAGACTATTCGTCGATTACTGGCTCCTAATATAGAAATTTTGTAGAGTTTATGTTAAAACAGTTTTTCATCAAAACCTTTTATTACTTAAAACAAAATAAAACAACTTTATTGCACTTAATTTGATGTACTTGAATTCAATCAAAATAGATTGATGGAAGAAAAATAAACTCAATACAACAATCGAAAAGAAGAATCTAATTAATAATGTTGTTTCTAACGATGAAAAAATCATACAAACAGTAGATAGATTTGAGAAAAGAAAATACTGAAAAGTATATATTTCATATAGAAAATGCATTGTTAATTATTATCATTGAAGTAATATTACTATGATATCTGTATATTTAGAGAAACTGTCAGATTCATAAATATATAATGGCATATGAAAACAAAAAGATAGTATGCAAGATTGAAAGACTTCTTTAAATATTCGAGATGAAGGGATATTGATAATAATAAGCGTAGCTTCTGAAAAGAAGTACTTTTCAAATTGTCAAGACTGAAGAATTTGGTGGTTTTGATTGTGATGCTATGTGAGTTGAGATAGGCATATCGATCGTCATGAGTTTGTGCCTGGACATTATCATATTGATGTTTGATGGCATGCGCATGAGGTGATAATCTTTGCTTTCTGTTTTTTTTAAGAAGATGCTGTAAGCAATTATTAATGGCACAGTAATGATGAACCTGTTGTCCTTGCTCCGCACGATGGATTGAAACATTGAATGTGGTCTTAAAAATATAGAAAACAATATTTTTGTAACGAAGAGGCTTCATCGAACCATAGTTGGTGGAGTCTATCCGAGGGCTGTCCATGCAGTATTTGATGCTTTCTCACTCATTTTTTCATGATAAAACTCGTGTCTTTTGATTTATGAACATAGAATCAAAATTCAAAACCTATCAAATTCAGGTTCAATTCTTTTTTAATTACAACGGTTGAAATAGGAAATAAACTTAATTTTCAAGTCTTCATTGTTTAAATTGTTACAACTTAGTGATAATAATTTTAATAAAGCTTGTAATTTCTCTTTTTTACTAACTATAATTTATAGAGTTCGTTAAATACAATTGTTACTGTGAATTTCATGAGATTTTTATGAACTTGAACACATCATCTAACTGTCATTATTACATGAGATCAAACATCGAATGGACGCAAACTATTATCCGATCCAAAATAAAAGTCAAATTACTCTTTTTCGAATAACTTTTGATAGAAACGAGATAGAGAGCTGCAGTTTTTATTATTCGAAGGAGCAATGTCCGGGCCATTCATCAGTACAGAACTCATTAAGACGAAAGATGCTTTCTTATATGTACCTATGGATCAACACATTTTCCATTGAGTGTTTTCATCAATTTTCGTAATAACCTCAACTAAAATGATGTCGCAATGTAGCTCAAATCACCCCTTTTCCGCTCTAAAATTAACATTTGTTTTTTTTCAATCTTCTGAGCATAAGAGGTTGAAAGATAATGAAATATGTGATAATTTAAGAGCGGAAAAAGGGTGATGTGAGCTACATTTTGACATAATTTGAGTTGAGGTTATTACGAAAATTGATGAAAATACTCAAACGACAATGTATTGATTCATAGGTACCTATAAAAAAGCATCTGTCGAATGGTGAAAATCGCAGCTCTCTATCTTGTTTCTATCAAAAGTTATTCGAAAAAGGGTAACCTGTCTTTTGTTTTGGATCGGATAATAGTCGACCTAAAAGAGCATTTATATACAAAAATAAAAAATACAGGAAACGATGTTCAAAAAAAGACCGCTTTGAAATATAGATGTCATTGAGCATCTTCTCTTCATACAAACACAAGCTCATCCTCCTATTTTACATCCTCAATAAGTATTGAGTTATTACTATAAATTATGACAACACACCTTTGCTACCTCGCTTTAACTTTGATTAAAACTCTTCAATAGCTTGGTGCAAACTGATAACGTTGACTAGTGCATCATGAATATTACTTTTATCAATGACGAAAAAAACAAATAAGCTAGTTAATATCTATCTGAAAATATTTAGTTCTCTTTTACAAAACTCATCTTACATGCAGCCGATAATAATAGTCAACTTCAAGGCTTATATTACTTTCAAGACCAGTTAGTATTTGCAGTAGAGGAGCCAGGATTTTTGGCTATAAGGACTGAAACTATCCGTAGAAGGCTGATCCCTCTGGCTTCGTCACTGTTTATATGCACATAATTTTATCTCATATAACACTTGATTATAACTATTTATAGAACAAGCCTCATATTATTTATTATACCGTGTACAGCTCTCTCCATATCACATCAGATCTACCTCAATGAAAAGCTTCTTTGGTTAAAAGCTTATGTTTTCTGTATGTTTTAAAGCTCCAGACACCTTGGAAGACCTCGGGTCTTCTATTCTGTCTTATCGTTCACAAGTTACAAGACGAGAAGGGATCTTCTATTATGTGCCTAAAAAACATCATAGTTTTAGCTACCCTAAATGATATAATTTTTATAAGTCTTTTTGCTCTGGTGATGTTTTTACTGAACGTTTATCTCGTTTTTCTACGCGAGTACAGTTAACAATAATAGTCTATATACTATCACTAAAGAACATTTCTCAATACGACTATCTGGATTATAAAATGTACTAAATGCACACAAAATATGATTATTTGACATTTTTCAGCAGGAGCTTCTTTCGCAGAATAAAAGTACTCCCTCATAAAATGCTATTATTTCATGCAACCAATTAGAAAAAAGTTAAGTTTTTTTGGCTTTTTCTGGCATATCCTTCAAGATCAGCTGTTTATGTTGAGTTGTCTGTATTAAACTTGTAATTTGTTCATCTCTTTCGGAATAAGATTTTTGATCAACGTATTTTTGATCGATACTTAATGGCAGTAGATGAGAACATATGATTACAGTATTATCCATCAAACGTGTTTTTTCTTATTCAATTATGAAAATAATCATATAGTTGACTGTTTGTGACAAGAGAAGAATGCAAATGAGAAATAATCGAGGTTGATTAGCTATATAAGAGAGGAACGATATGTGCTGAGCATCGTAAATTAAGAAAAAAGAGTACTAAACGAAAAATATATATACAGTAATCAAATATACCGTAAACGAATTGAGGCTGCCTTTTATATACGTACAGCTAGTGGATTATGATAAGATCAACTCATATAGACCAATTTCATGATAATTAATAAATTATGGGATACCAAGGATGTGGGCATAGATCTAGAGTAGTCATACTAACACCTTCATTATCACTATTATCCATTCCCTCGTCCACACACTCATCTACGCTCCCATCCATGCCCTATCATGTAGATGTTTTTTTTTTTGTTAGAGATATTATTTTGTGTCCCATGTCACGTATAATTAATACGACGCTTAATTGTCTTATTTTTTGACGCTTTCTTTACATATAACTAATTTGGTGCTCATTTTGTCTTAATTTTTGATTCTCAAAACATATATCTTCCATAAGGAGCGTTGGTTTTCACATGCTGTAAATATACGTCTATTAATTACATTTTATATTATTGAAGTACAGACTACCTTGAATGTAATATTTAATATAGAACAGAAAAAACAATTTGAAGCGTAGCTGAGAAATGTACATTCATAGAAAGAAAAAATATAAACATGATAGAAGAGCTGAAAAAAATTGTCTACTTGAGAGAGGGGTCCTCTAATGTGTCGGGAGCTTTATCTCATCTTGTGTGATAAAAAATCTGTCTTGAACAAAAACTCATATCATCAACAAATTGCAGTAACATTTATTAAAATACAATAACTTTACGTTAAGAGTTTTTAAAACGATTTATTTTCAATATCTACTCTCATTCAAGAGATTTTTAAAAGTTAGCTATCAAAATTGACTCGTTTTATACAAACCTAATAAAATTGTCAATTTTAGATCAACTAAAAATTTAAAACAACTTTATTTTATTTAAATTTAATTTTGCTCATGTTTGCAAATGAGAAGTAGCCTTTCGAAACTATTAAAATATATAATTTACTCATCTATCATCGTAGTTATTTGTCCCTATATTAGTTTCGCTTGCATACGTCTCTCTTCTTATATATACATTACAAGTGCATTTTCTTTCCTTCTCTCTTTGCTACACGCTTCATAAGAATCATTATATATTTGATGATACAAAACATTTAACTAACGCACATTCGCAAGTTGTACAACATAAAATACACAAAGTTTTCGATAAAAACATCTCGCTTATTATTTCTTGATAATTATCAAAAATCATGGGTAATAAACAAGCTAAGAAAACAATATCAACTGAACTTACAGAAAGCCGTTCGTTTCATTTTTGCAACAAATTCATCACATAATACTTTTCTAACGGTTTCATATTTTAGAGTTAGCTCTGCTTCAAACAAACACCAAATTAACTGAAAAAGGTAAACATATACTGAATAACATTTAATGAATCTAAATATGTGTTATTTTCTTTTTTTTGTGTCGTTATTGTACAGAAATCCGAGAATGGCATAAGGTTTGTTTAAAGAAATTCGTTTTTTTTCCTGAAACTATATCTGCTGACCTTGCCCTGTGCTAGAGTTTCATTCGTGATTGTCCAACTGGTAAAATCGATAAGAAAAAGTTTGTTGAATTTTACAAACAATTTTATCCAAAAGGCAAAGCAGATAACTATTGCAAGTAGGAGTTTGTGTGAAATTATCATTCAATCTATAAACAAATGGTGCTTATTCTGTATATCTAGATATGCATTTAGCACATTTGATACTAATAATGACGGCACAATTGATTTTGAAGAATTTCTTATAGCCATTACAGCTACAAGTCAAGGTGATCTTGATGATCGTCTTAGTGCTGTTTTCAATATGTAAATTCGTTCTATTTCTGTCCATCCTTTCATTTTTTTTTCTCGTTAACATGCAGGTATGATATTTCTCATGATGGACTCGTTGATAAAAAAGAACTGATTGCATTAATCACAGCTATGGTAAAATTTGAATTCTATTATCGCACTCGAAGAAATAATATTTCTTATTTTTCAGTATGATCTTCTTGGTGAAACTGATCGCAAAGGTGATCATGATCCAAAAAAAATTGCTGTTGACATTATAGAAAAATTTGATACTAGTCATGACAAGAAATTGAACAAGGAAGAATTCATTACTGGGTATGTTTGTACAATACTAATAACTGATCAATTGTTGGTATTTTTTTTCCTTTTTTTCTAGATGTAAAACCAACGGGGCTATTCGTCGATTACTTGCTCCTAATATATAAGCATTGAAGAATTTATGTTAAAACAGTTTTTCAAGAAGACTTTTTATCATTTAAAACAAAGCAAAACAATTGTGTTTCAGTTAATTTTATGTATTTGATTTTAACCAAAATAAATTGAATATAAATACTTTGGTGAAAGAAAAATACACTCAATACAACTATCGAAAAAAAGAATCTAATTAATAATGTTGTTTCTAACGATGAACAAAGTTATGTAAACAGTAGATAGATTTGAGAAAAAAAAATACTGAAAAGTATCTATTCCATGTAGAAAATATTTTTTTAATCAATTATCATTGAAGTAATATTACTTTGATAACCTGTATATTTACAGAAACTGTTAGAAAGATAAATATATAATGGTATATGAAAACAAAAAGATAGTATGCAAGATTGAAACATTTCTTCAAATATTCAGAATAAAAAGGTATTGATGGTAGCATGTGAGGTGCATGTAATATGAAATTTTCAAATGTTGAAATCAAATTACACGTAACAGAAGGACTGTCTAAGCAAAACTATTCTTTCACTTCCAGTAGAAAAGTAAAATGCATAAATAATGATAGAGTTCTACGAAGCTCTCTTACACATTATATTTAACTCTGATTTACCATCCATTTGGGGTCAATGCGGAGTTCAGCCAAAAAGAAGTATTTCGAAAATATGCCTTGCTGCTGTTTCTGAGAGATATCAGGAGGAGAAATCAGTAGGTATTGATGGATGTAGTACACGCTATTGTTGTTCAATTTATTTTGAATTGAAGCGAGAACATTCGATCTTTGTATGCAGACATCATCCGAATAAAATCAGTAACATTCGGGGATTTTATATTTTGGAGGATCTCAGTTAATATATATTTTCATTCATTCTGAATAATTCTGAAGTTATTTAGGAAAAAGAACTAAGTTTACTATTTTGGAGAGAGCAGTCATAAGACCATAGAGTATATAAAGCAATTGATAAAAGGAAAGATTTTTTTCTGTGTACATTCAATGTATTTATGTGTGAAACTACCAAACACAAAATTTTAGCGACCAATACTTTTTCTTTGAAAGGTTAGTCAATATTGACGTTTTACCACTATCGTATGCTTATGAGAAAAAGCAACAAAAAAATACCCTTGAAAAGCTTCACTTGTTTTCTTTTCAACGAATAGGCTTATGATATTTGTTTGTAAGCACATTTTGTAAACGTATTTAACTTTTTTGGAACAGAGGACCAAATGTCTTGTCTCTTTTGAATCAGTCACTTTCGAGATACAAAAGTAACTATTTAGTTTTTTTTAGAGTTTGGTTTTTTTTTGTTAAGAAAACTGAATACTTTCTCGTTTTTATGGTACGAAGAGTCAGAATGGCCTTTTTTTGCTGTTGCAGTCTTTATTATGAGAACTGCATTGAACAATAAAATAAACAACATTTTAAATCAGCGTGGAAATCTATACCGGGTTACATACATTTCAATAAATTTTGTGTCGAATGGAAAATTGACCACTGCCATAATTTCAGAACAAAAATGCTGAAGTGGGAAATATAAGTGTGTTTTCTGTGAAAAGATGATTTTGTTAAAATATGTGTGGGCCGGCGTAGGTTTTCACACTGATTCTGAATAGGTTGTTTATTTTATTTTTCAACTGGATTTTGATAATAGAAACTGTACTAAACAAGGTCATTTTTTACTCTTTTATTGATGAAGCGAAGAAATGCTCAATGTTCTCAACAATAAAACACAATATGGGTACTTTTGTAGTTCGAAATCGACTGATTCTAATGAGATAAGATATTTGATATTATGTTCTATTACAAAAATTCAATAGATTTTCAAATGTGCGTGTAAATAAATGTTATAAGTCAACATATTCATTGGTAGAAGAGTTTTACGTTATTTATTTTAAGTTTAAGTAAATCATATTTTTCTACTCAGTTTTTGATGCTAAATTTGACAAGAATAATACTCTCAAAGAGTTTAGAAAACAGATTATTAAAACTTGAGAATTGATCTGAAAAAAAAGTAATTTTGCTTATATCTGTGGCCTTATCAGTATTTTGAGCCTTTTGCAATACAAGGATAATTTAATCGAAATAAAGAGTACATATGCATAATCAACTCTACAAACTCTATGAAACCATGTATAAACCAATGAAAAATACTTTGGATTAACCAAAAGTTCTGATTATAGTGTTTGGAATTTTTTTGAAATAGTTCATATCTGTAGTATTTTTGTAAGAATACACGGTAGAATGTTTCGTCTATAATAGGATGAGGGTTTGGGTGGATATGAAAGAGCAAAAGATTTATACAGACGCCCAAATTCTACATCCGTACACACCCACACCCATTTAGAGTATCAAAGTACGGTTCGATCGAGTCCGAAAATTTTGGATCGATGGGTTCTTCTTCTAGGGCCTTTTAACAAAACAGCAAAGTTTTCTTTTCTCATCAAATAAAATGAAACATTCAGGAATCTATTACCATTCATAGAAAGGATCTTGATTCTCTTAGGCTTTTCATCTTGATTTTAATTTACACCTTGCTTTTCAAGATACAACATCGTGTATTAAACATGTTTCATTAATAAATGATGTTTTTAATTCATTATCAAGTTATGCTAAAAAATTAATGAACGATTCAAGTGAATATGTTTTTAAAACTTTAATTGAACCAACAAATAAATTTCAATATCATAATTATCATTCAATGGTAGATAAATTGCAAGAATTAAATAATAAATCAACTACTTATACATAAACCTGGTGAATTAGAAGTTAAATACATTGGAAATATGAATGGTGAAAAGAATGTTTAATTCTTTTTATTGAGCATTTATGTATACTGAGGGTTGACTAGAAGTTCTGATCACGGTGTTTAAAATTTCATAAAATAGTTATTATCGAAAGTTTTATTACATGACTAGTAGAATGCTATGTCTATAATAACGTATAGAATATAGGTGTTATCTATTCACTCACGTACAAGGTCACATCCTCATCCCAAAACCCGCCAATGATACGTACTAAAATGTGTACAACTCATGATTGGCTAAGCCTTACAATATCGGACTTGCATGATACATAGATCTTTAGTTAATGCTTCTAGTGCACTTGTTAAAATTAAAATCCTAAAACTGTCATATTACACAATGTTTTTTGATATTTAATAAACTTGATAAAAGACTTCGAGAAAACTTGTCAGAAAAATCTGGTATATACGATTCAATGTACTTTTATTTCCTCTTTTAAACGGTGAAAACCGTAGATCTTTATCTTTTTCCTGTCAAAAATAATTTCACAAATGTTTGAACATTCTATCATCACACCAAAGAATTTATACTTCATCAAAAACTTTTTCTTATTATTGCTGGTATATTTGGTTTGTATCTATTACTAATATTAAAATTATTTATTTTTTCTTTATTCAGCTTTAGGTTTAGCTATTATATTTGCAATTGTTGTAATACATTTGAAATTTTGTCAAAAATCAACATCATGTGCTCATACTGGTTTTCAACGATATGAACCTTTAGTTCAAGATGAAAATGCTTTGCCAAAAATGGAAAGACACAATGGAAGAAAAGTTTTAAGAAGTAATCATGTTATAGTAAGTGAATCATCTGATGATGGAGACGATCAAACATTATTTTCATCAAAAATCAAGAAACTAATGACTTCTTAATAATTTTATGAGAACATCTTGTTTTTTTATTGCGATTATTATATAAGAATGTCTTTCTATTATTTTTCATTCATCTTAAATGCATTCATTCCATTGTGAATCTCATCTATTAAAAATAAACGATTGTTATCAATGAATATTATTTTTCATCGATGATTTGGTGCTTCGGTCATGCTTTCTCTTTATATGATTTTTTCGTAAATCAAAATAAGAAATTATTTTATATTCATGATCGTTCTTCTTTTTCTCTACAGTTTTTTATACGTTTGAAAAATTCAAGATCTTATCAATTGTTTATAGTACAATAAATGTGTTTCGAAAAACATATGCATACACATCTCTGTAATATTCATCAGAGAGTTCATCAATTTTAATGAGTACCTTGACACTAGTAAAATATATGGTTGACTCATCTATCAGCGTGGACATGTCTTTCTATATTGGTTTCGCTTGCATATATTTCTGTTTGTTTACATGCATCATAGGTATATTTTTTTTGCCTTCTCTTTTTTCTGCATGTCTGACGAGTATCGTTATATATCTGATGATACATAAAATTTAACTGTCGCACATTCACGTCCACTCAATATAATATACACAAGGTTTTCGACAAAAACATCTCCTTTATTACTTATTGATAGTTATCAACAACTATGGGTAATAAACAAAATAAGCAAACAATATCAACTGAACTTACAGAAAAACGTTTGTTTCCTTTTTGCAACAAATTTATCACATAATACTTTCTTAACGGTTTTATTTTTAGAGATAACTGTGCTCAAAGCAAGTACCAAATTTAATGAAAAAGGTAAACATATACTGAATGATATTTAATGAATCTACATATGTGTTATTTTCTTTTTTTGTGTTGTTATTGTACAGAAATCCGAGAATGGCATAGGGTTTGTTTAAAGAAATTCCTTTTTTTTCTAAAACTATATTCGATGATCTTTTCTTTGTTTCAGGGTTTCATTCAGGATTGCCCAAATGGTCGACTTGATAAAAAACAGTTTATTCAAATCTATCAACAATTTTATCCAAAAGGCAAAGCAGATAATTATTGCAAGTAGGAGTTTGTTTGAAATTATCATTCAATCTATAAACAAATGACACTTATTCTTAATATCTAGATATACATTTAGTACATTTGACACTAATAATGATGGTACAATTGATTTTGAAGAATTTCTTATAGCCATTGCAACTACAAGTCAAGGTGATCTTGATGCTCGTCTTAGTGCTGTTTTTGATCTGTAAATTCATTCTATTTCTATTCATTCTTTCACTTATTTCATTAACATACAGATATGATTTTTCTCGTGATGGACTAATCGATCAAAAAGAGCTGACTACATTAATCAAATCTATGGTAATGTTTAAGCCTAACTGTCATGTTGAAAAAGATTCGATTTATTTTTTTAGCTTGATCTTCTTGGTGAAACCAATCGGAAAACTGATTGTGATCCAAAAACACTTGCTGCAGGCATTATAGCACGCCTTGATGTTAATGGTGACAAGAAATTGAGTAAGAAAGAATTCATTGATGGGTATGTTTGTACAATAATAATAAATGATCTACTGTTTGTGTTTTTTTTTCTAGATGTAAAAGCAGTCAGATCATGCGCCGATTACTCGCTCCTAATATATAAAACATTGTTTCATGAGAACTTGTTATTATTTAAAACAAAATAAAACAAAACAATTGTATTTCAGTTAATTTTATGTATTTGATTTTAACCAAAATACATTGAATATAAATACATTGGTGGAAGAAAAATAAACTCAATACAACAATCGAAAAAATAAATCTAGTTAATAATGCTTTTTCTATTCATGAAAAAAACATTAAATAAACAGCAGATTGACTTGAAAACCTCTGTATATTAATATAGATACTGCTATATACATGAATAAGTAATTCTATATGAAAACAAAAAGAGAGTATACAAGACTGAAACACTTCTCCATGTATTTGAGATAAAGAGGTGTTTATAATAGCATATGCGGTACATGTAATATGAAATTTTCAAATGTCGAAATCAAATTAGATGTAACAGAAAGACTGTCTAAGCTAATCTATGCTGTCAGTTCTAGTAGAAAATTAAAATACATAAATAATGATAGAGTTATAAGAAGTTTTCTTACACATTGTATTTAACTCTGATCTATCATCTATTTGGGGTCAAAACGGAGTTCAGCCAAAAAGAAGTATTTCGAAGATATGCCTTGCTGCTGTTTCTGAGAGATATCAGAAGGAGAAATTAGTAGGTATTGATGGATGTAGTACACGCTATTGTTGTTCAATTTATTTGGAATTGAAGCAAGAACATTCGACCTTGGTATGCAGACATCATCCGAATAAAACCAGTAACATTAGGGCATTTTATATTTTGGAGAATCTCAGTTAATGTATATTTCCATTCATTCTGAATAATTCCGAAGTTATTTAGGAAAAAAGACTAAATTTACTATTTTGGATAGAGCAGTCATAAGACCATAGAGTATATAAGACAATTGATAAAAGGAAAGACTTTTTTCTTCATACATTCAATGCATTGTCATTTGAAACTATCAATGGCAACATTTTAGTTTTGAGTATCCTTTCTTTGAAAAGTAATTCAATGCTGACTTCTTACCACTCATGCACTTCTTAGAAAAAATAACAATAAATCCAAAGTAAATGTTGCATTTTTTTTGTCTCAATGTATCACTCAAGTTTTTTTTTAAATATACGAAATAATAGAGAATTAGAAGCTTTGTGAAGCCAACATGGACTCAAAATTACGGTTTCACTAGACTCAAAATGTCCATTTGATAACAATCTATGGTCTGTCGGTATTCAGAATCAGAGAGTTCCAAGTTAAATTTCATAGATGTTATGCAACTTTTCATTGTCTACAAGAGGATAAAAAATATTCAGAAATAAAGGATATTCTCGGAGTGAAACTAGGGTTACATCTCTGTTACATAATGGGTTTGGATCATTTTTCAATAGAAACTAATAACATTTTTATCAATTTTCATTGCTATGAAATAATTTTAAAGCAAAATAAATACAACCTTTGGAATCACCGTCAAAAACTACATTGAGCTAAACACATTTTAGATAATAGTTTTTTTCCTGCGAAAAACTTACCTCTTGAAGAACCACGGGACGAACTTTCAATAAAATGCAGTTGTGAAGGAACACTGGTGAATTTTTCATTGGAGAAAATTTCACTAAAATGTATTTAATTCAATGTAATTTTTGATGTTGATTCCGATTGTTGTATTTATTGGAAAATCATTGAAAACTATTAGGTGAGAGAGATGTATATTTCGTTGCACCCCAAAGATATGATTTGTTTTTGAACATTTCTTTATCACTTTGTAGAGAATAAAAAGTTGTATAACATCTATAAAATTCAGCTTGGAACTCTGTGATTTTAAATTTTGATAAGAGATAAATAATTATCAAATGAATATTTGAATCTCATCGAAAGAGTCATTTTTCTATCCATATTAACTGTATAAAACTTGAGTCGGTAAACACTGTATTACACTGAAATAGCTCGTTTTAACCAGTTGTCAATTGTCTATCTTTTAGGATAATTTATAAAAAACTTAAGTGATTCATTGAGACGAAAACAAGCACAACTTTTACTGGGAATTTATCGCTATTTGTTTCTCATGAGCACATGAGTGGTAAAAAGTGAGTATTGGCTAACTTTTGAAGGAAAGTATATTGGACGCTAAAATATCGGCATGCATACTATTAAGCATCAATGTATTGAGTGCACAGAAAAAAAATTTTTATGGAGTACCTTATATACTCAACGACCTGACGATTCTTCTCTTTAAAAATATTTCTTCCATAGATTGATTGAATTTTGTTTTTTATTATTTTTAAATAGAATGCTATTTTATTAGTCTAATAAAAATATTGCTCAGTCACTTATGAATCACGGTCACATATGAGATCTCCCACGTTGAATATCATTACAAATAGAGGTAACTTAAATAATAACGGCCATATTCATCTAACTATTCATCGACAATCAAAATGTGTCATGTTTGCTCATCCGTATAAATGGCTTGTCTTGATTTTTTTTTTGGCTGCGCAATCCTACATAGTATGCATACACTAACATATATTCAAGGTAGTTTCTCGATTTTCTCTCTCTCTCTCTCTCTCTCAGCATTATAAATATCATCGCAAATCAGTCAATACACACAACGTTTAAGTTGCATATAGACATACACACGAATAAACAAGCTCCAATACCTGAGATTGTTCTTTTAGATTTTTGTATCGTTTATTATTCATTTTATAAAAACTAACAGTGATGGGTGGTAAACAAGCTAAGCCTGTATCGACTGAACTCACTGACAAACGTTCGTTTGCTCTTTCTTTGAAAACATTCACCATAGAATGAATCAATGTTCATTTTAATTTAGAACTTGCTTTACTTAAAGCTAATACCAAATATTCAGAAAAAGGTACACATGTTTATAATCTTTTCTATATAATATTAATATTTCATGCTTACTTATTTTGTTTTAATATAGAAATTCGACAATGGCATACGGTTTGTTAAATCGAATTGAAAATTAGTTTACATCTATGAATTTACCACACATTATAGGGTTTCATTCGTGATTGTCCCACTGGCAAACTTGATAAGAAGAAATTTGTCGAAGTTTACAAACAATTCTATCCACAAGGCAAACCAGAAAACTTTTGCAAGTAGGATCAATTATGATTTTGAACGTTTTTTTGTTCAGTTCATTTGTATTTATTGTTTTTTGTATTTCTAGATATGCTTTTGACACATTTGATACTAATAATGATGGTTCAATAAACTTTGAAGAATTTCTTTTAGCTATTTCAGCTACAAGTCAAGGTGATCTTGATGATCGTCTTGCTGTTGCTTTTGATATGTAAGTATACCAAATATATCATTGTTTAATCTATTATCTCTTTGATATGTAGGTATGACATTTCGGATGATGGACTAATTGATCAAGCAGAATTAACGAAATTGATTACTGCTATGGTACAGTTTTGATTATATTTTTCAAATAAAATTATCATTGCTCTTTGTTTTTCAGTATGATCTTGTTGGTGAAAGTAATCGTAAAGGTGATAATGATCCAAAAAAACGTGCTGGAGAGATTATAGCTAAACTTGATGTTAGTGGTGATAAAAAATTAACGAAAGCAGAGTTCGTTGCTGGGTATATTTTATTTCATTATATATCTTTACATTATCATCTATGGTTTTTGTTTTTTTATTAGATGTAAAGGTGATCCAGTTATTCGTAAATTACTTGCTCCCAACGCCTAAATGTTGAGCATTGAATCTTCTACGAATGTATTTTATTCTCTAAGAAATAGAACAATTTTATTTTTTATTTTGTTATTAATCAAGAAAAAAGAACATAGATAGCATACTAACACATTTGTATAAGTAATATTATAACAAAAATAAATTTATATGAAAGATTAAGGATAGGTAAATTTGTATTACTGTATAAGAATATTAGTATCATAAATGGATAACATCTAAGCTCAACTCAGAGGATGAAGCATTTCGAGTTTCGATTTTGAGTTTTCGAAATTTCACAGATAACAAAAATTCTTGGTATCTATCGAATGGATGAAAATTTACAATTATCATTGAAAGTTGATGTTGAATTTAATGGATGCCCAATAAATAAATGGCTCACTCGTATACGTTTGATATTTATAGTTATTTGATACATTTTATTTAACATTAAAATGCATCAGTAAATACAACAGAATTGGCTCTACCATTTGCATTAAAAATGTTATTTTTTATAAGTATCTTTTGTTTTAAAAATTGAAAAAATTTTATTTGTCCAATTTTCGACATTGCAAACAACAAAATTTATTGATATACAACTAATACTTTTTTGTATTTCTTCAATTATAAAATTCTAATTTTTCATTTTTTCTCCGTGAGTACTATGACTGATAACATCCTACACATGATGATCTAAAATATTGAGATATGAATTACTGAGCGGCTATTTCTTTTTCATAGATAAATCGGGTAAAGTTGTTCCTAATCCATGCTAATGAATTTTTAAACGTCTCATATCGAGAAATATGGAGTTCCGTATACGACCATATTTCGTCGTATCACATGATCTAGTGTTATGATCGCATAGCTTCGTGGCTGTATACGGCAAAATATGTGGAAGAACAAAGGTCGTTAACAATCGTATTTTTAATCGTTCACACTCGTAAACGATCGCATTTTATTGCAATACAATTCATATACGATACTTTATTTCGTATATTACACTCATCTCCATCACTGTACATGAAATCAATCTAAAAAATGAAATAAAATAAATAATCTATACTTAACCATGATTGACTTGATGCTATCATATAATTTAATGTAAGGAAAAATAAATGAAAATAAGTACTCTATATTTACTGTTAATTAAGCTATTGTCATAATATAATCTAAAATCAAGAAACATTAAAATAAATAGTTTATAGATACTGTGCATTGCATTAATGCGATGAAGTGATTTAAAACAAAGGTACCGTTACCTCTTTCTCAACTTGTTTAATTATGCACATCCACTTTCGCAACAGCTCAACAAAATTGAATATACATCGACCGTATAGTATGCACATGTTCATACACGACAATCGTATATCACAGTATACATAGGAAAGAAGTTTATCCTCTTATTTTTCTGTATTTTTTTTCCGCCTGTCGTATAAGGAATCCGTTTCTGGTCGCTTCGTTCCGAACACATTCATCCTATAGGAGGTTCATTTTACGATTGTGCCTGTTCAACCTGGGGTGTGTTGTTGTGTGCTATTTTGTTGGTAAATGAAATCATCACCTAATAGACGTTAACTTTCACCTTATGCATGCGGAAGAATAACCTCGACATAATTCGTATGTGTTCATGTTTCAACAAGTTTAAGTATGATTGGAGTTCAGAAAGACCCTTTTGTGGAACTCACATATATTTTCGAAGAAAATAGTGAGTGTAAGTTTTAAGTTCAAGTTTTCGCGGCTCCTCCCCCCCCCCACCCCCCCCCCCCACCACACCCCCACCACACACCCACCCCCCCCCCCCCACCCCCCCACCCCACACCCCCATTATAGACACCATAGCAATCGAAGCCCCCATTACAGACACTTAGCAACATAGACTCCCATTACAGACCTTAGCAATCAATACAAAACATGTTAGATTTTCTAATTTTTTTTTGGAAAATTGATCAAGTTATTATTTTAAAAAATAATGAATATCATTATTTATGACTTGATTAATGTATATCACAGTGTGTAAGATCTGCTGTAGCTATCATAGATATGTAAAACACACTTATTTGTCAATCAGTTCAATGATTATAATAATAAAAATGATAAATTAAGAAAAACGAATTAGAAAAAAATAAAAAAAATAATGAGCGAATAGTAACAATGAAAACAAAAAATAGGGCACCCGTCAGAAAACGAAAAATAAAAAATTCTTTATTTTGCACCTTCTGTATTTCGTATTAATATAACGAAGCTGAAGAACATATGTGAGTTCCACATTTCAACCCCAAAGGGGTTGCGCTAACAAGCTTTTTTTTAGATGCGCCTAGCTATACCATAATTCTTTGTGAAAATGTAAATACTACTCTTATTCTCTTACGTTCATCTACTTCGTCTCAACTTGAAGCATAAACACAATCATTCTGATGATTGAATATGCCCTCCAATGGAACATATTTTCATCAGTAAATAAATTTTGAACATAATCTTTTTTCCTTAATAACTTTCATAATTAGTAAGCAAACGATAATCTTCGTTGTTTGCAGTCATCTTGAAGATTTAACTGAATTGTAACCTGATAAGCGCGTAAATGAAGATCGCCTCGAATTATATGCGA